TTCCTCTTTAGGACTTTGCCTTAACCTGAGGAAGGGAGCAAAAAAAAAAAAAAAGAGAGAGAGAGAGAGAGAGAGAGAGAGAGAGAGAATAAACATCCACTGGCCTCAAAGCGTAAATGCCCCGACAATCAGTTATGGCCACAAATTGTTCGAGTGGATCCCATGCGTGTGGAGTGGGGATCAGCTGAACCACGTCCTGGGTCCTGATTGGAGACGTGGCCCTGGAAGAAGCATAAAAACAAGGCAGGCTTCTGGGCCGTAAGTGCATGTCTGAGTGGGAACGAGGCCGAGAGGCCTGAGTGATGAAAGGAAGGAGTCCTTGAGGCCTGGACCGTACCGCCAGGAGGCCAGAAATGCAGAGGTCAGCTGAAAGCAGGGTATGTTTAATTTTTAAAAATGGTTTCATGGGATAAAAATGCAAAGATTCCTTAAGACACATTCCCTTGGGACTTCACGTTGGTTAAAAAATAAAGCCCCCGTGACTTAGGACTCTCAAAGAAAATCAGAATTAAAGAGCTAGGATAGTGTAAGGAAAACAAATCTGGGAAAGCCTTACCATGTTTTCCCACCCGAAAGAGTATGAAAGAATCCACGTTGGAGGAAAACATCTTGAATAGAAGAGTGATTTAGCTTGTATCCTATGGCAGGTATTCACCTGTTTTAAATAGTTTGGTCTGAGCAGGGTCACACTGAAAGAGCACAGAGAGAACAGTTCGTGTAGGGCCTCAAAAGACGGGTGAACATGGGCAAACATTTATTTAGGTGTGGCATTTATTATGGTGGATAGCAAGCCCATTGAGCACTCTCTCTGTTCCAAGCACTGGCCTGGCCTCGTGCGTGCATTTTTTGTGAGTTGGGTTTTGGGGTTGGGGGGGGGCGTTGGTCAGATTTCACATATAAGTGAGGTGATACAGGAGTTTGCCTTAGTCTAACTTAGCTTAATGCCCTTGGGGTCCAACCGTGTCATTGCAAATGGCAGGATTTCCTGTAACTTGCGACATACGCATTTTCTGAAATCTCGTAATCACCCTGCCGTGTTGGTATTCTGACTCTCATTTCAGCCACGAGGAAACATTGCTCAGTGAGAGTAAGAAATATCCCCAGGCCGCTTGCCTGGTAAATGGCAGAATCAGCATTCAAATCCAGGCCTTTTAAAATTCCATACGAATGAACCCATACGAATGGAATTGATGTGGAAAACGTCTTCCACATAGTAGGTGCGCTGCTTGAGCTAGTGCTGAAGTGAGTTCAGGGAACCCAAAGCGACATTGTCGTTTGGTCCCTTTGGTTGGCATCCCGGGGTCTTTGTCCCTAGCAGGTAAGCTCTCGTAGTTTGATAAAGCCTGTTTCCTCCTCTCCACTTTCATTGTTGTCCGTTCTAATCTTAGAAATGTAGTTCCTGAAGTGAGTATCGTAAGGGGTGGGATTCTGTTGTATAAAGCTGATTCCCATACACAACTCCATATGCAGGGCTAGAATTATTGGTTACGGGAGGTGAGCCAAGGAAGAACGCATGTTCTGTGTTGATGTCTTACCTGTCAGAACAGAAAATTATTATCTGTGGCCCTTGTTCCTACACGCTGGCCTTCACCACGCCTTTAGTTTGTTTTTCTGTTTTTCAGTGTCTCCTCTTCCTGCTACTACCTACAGTCTTTGAAAAGTTAACGTATAGAAGACCTGAGATTTCCATGGAATCCTTTGTAGAGCTGTATATTTAAAATTTATGTCTTCCCATGATGAAAAAACATGACACCACATCTAATCTCTCTATCCTCCAAGGAATAAAAGACCTTCAGGGAGGGGCGCCTGGGTGGCTCCGTTGGTTGGGTGTCTGACTTCAGTTCACGGGTTCGAGCCCCGCATCAGTTCTCTGCTGTCAGAGAGGAGCCTGCTTCAGATCCTCTGTCTCCTTCTCTCTCTGTTCCTCCCCCACTTGCTGTTTCTCTCAAAATAAATAAATAAACTTAAAAAAAAAAAAAAAAGACCCTGAGGGAAATGATCATGCTAACATAAAAAATATTTTGGATCTGTATTTTTATGATGCAAAACTCTCCTGAATAATAGAAAGATGTATTCAAGAAAATCCTATTTCTGGGGCACCTACGTGGCTCGGTTGGTGAAGCGTCCGACTTTGACTCAGGTCACAATCTCACAGTTTGTGAGTCCGAGCCCCACGTTGGGTTCTCTGCTGACAGGTCAGAGCCTGGAGCCTGCTTCAAATTCTTTTCTCTCTCTCAAAAATAAATAAACAGTAAAAAAATTAAAAAGAAAATCCTATTGCTGGCAGCAAACCCAAATCTGATTAAGACTACATCTTCTTTTAAAGGGCACCATTGTATAGTGCTGGTTGCAGTTTAAAATGGAGCAGCCTGTTTAGACAGTAGTTTGGAAAAGAATTGAAAAAGGTTTTGGTAACTCATGGCTTACTCATGCTACCCCTGGGAATCTGTCCCAGGGAAAGAATTCTAAATAGAAAGAAGCTTTTCACATACAGATTTTTTGAAGTAGAATATTTATCATAGTGAAAAAAATATAAACTCCAGTATCAAAAAAAGGTAAATGGTTTGAATAATTTTAAATGGCAGATTTAAAAAGCATATTGCATGAAAATAGCTGGATAAAAATGAAATACCTTATGATTATAGCTGTGGGAGTAAAATCTATGTATGTAAAGAAATTTCCAGAAAAAATGGAAGCACCATCACTATCAATGATTGTGTTTCAGTGAAACAATTACGGGCAACTTTTTTTTGTTTCTTTTTTTACAGTCTCTATTTCCATTTGAGGATGAGTACCTTTTATATCACTGAAGATCATAGTGGATAACAAGAATTAGATTGTAGAGATTTATGCCCAGTTTATGTCTACTATGCTCTTGCCCAGAATGTGGTAGCCTTTCTCAGTCTGCATATTGTGGATGGATCTGTGTGACTTCATGGCTTTTAGCTCAGTCCTCGACCCAGACAACAGTTCTGTAGAACAAATTAAATTTGGAAGTAAAGATGGACTGTCTATTCCAAATCCCTCCTTTCCCTCCTGACAAGCAGAGTCAAAGAAGAGCTCCTTCAGAAGCGAGAAACGGCTCAGAAAAAGTCCACTGGCCCATAACATAAAGAAACACAATGCCACTTAAGACAATACCACTTTTGTCTTTCTCTGACCGACTTATTTTGCTTCGCGTATTACATTCTAGTTACTTCCAGGTTGTTGCAAACGATGAGATTTCATTCTTTTTGATCGCGAGCAATATTCCATTGTATATGTGTATCACATCTTCTCTATCCATTCATCAGTCGATGGACATTTGGGCTCTTTCCATAATTTGGCTATTGTTGATAGCACTGCTGTAAACATTAGGGTGCATGTCCCCCTTCAAATCAGCATTTTTGTATCCTTTGGATAAATACCTAGTACTGCAATTGCTGGGTTGTAGTGTAGTTCTATTTTTAGGTCTTTGAGGAGCCTCCATACTGTTTTCCAGAGTGGCCACACCAGTTTTCATTCTTCCCCTTTCTCCATATCCTTGCCAACATCTGTTGTTTTCCTGAGTTGTTAACTTTAGCCGTTCTGACATGTGTAAGGGGGTATATCATTGTGGCTTTGATTTGTCTTCGCCTGGTGATGAGTGATGTTGCGCGTCTTTTCATGTGTCTGTTAGCCTTCTGGATATCTTCTTTGGAAAAGGGTCTATTCATATATTCTGCGCATTTCTTCACTGGGTTATTTGTTTTTTGGGTGTTGAATTTGATAAGTTCTTTACAGATTTTGGATACTAACCCTTTAGCAGATATGTCGTTTGCAAATATCTTCTCCCATTCTATCAGTTGTCTTAGGAGGGCACTTGTTGGGCTAAGCACCGGGTGTTTTATGTAGGTGATGAATCACTGGCTTCTGCTCTTGAAACCAATACTATACGATATGTTAACTAACTTGAATTTAAAGAAATAAATTTAAAAATGTTTAAAGTTTATTTATTTTCAGAGAGACAGAGAGAGGGAGTGGGGGAGGGGCAGAGAGAGGGAGAGAGAAAATCCCAAGCAGGCTCCACACTGTCAGTGTTGAGCCTGATGCAAGGCTTGAAGTCACAAACGGTGAGATCATGACCTGAGCCGAAACCAAGAGTCGGACGCTTAACTAAGCCACCCAGGTGCCCCCAAATAAATAATTTTTTTAAAAAAAACAGTACCACTTTTCACCATTTCTGAGCTTACCTATTTTTCCACCTTGCGGGTAAACAGGAATTGCCTAACTAGAGGGCAAATACTTACCTGTAAATTTTCAAAGCATCAAGTAAGAAAGGGTACCATCTTTAATGGCTGACCCAACTCAAGGAGGAAAAAATAATAGAATTAAATGTCATTGATTTTCATAATTCCCTGCAGCCTTCAAGAAGATATATTCTCTGGTTCTTTTTTTCACCCAAAACACTGTCCTTCCTACAACTATGTTATTAATTAAAGTAGCTGTTTGGGGTAGGAGTGGTGGTTGCTAAGTCTTTTTCACTGAAAGCAGAGAAGGGGCACTTTATCTCTTGTGCTTTCCAAGAGAACGGTGGCCTTTTTCTAGTTTGGAAATGGGCGGTATGTGGCTGAGAGCGGAAAGATTTTACATGTTGTGAATACTAATAATCTGTTTTGTGATAAACAACCGAGGTGGAAAACCAGCAACAATGACAGTAAAGGGGCCCCTGGGTGGCTCAGTTGGTTGAGCTTCCGATTCTCGATTTCGGCTCGGGTCCTGACCTCACGGTTTGTGGGATTGAGCCCCACATCAGGCTCAGTGCTGACAGTCAGAGCCTGCTTGGGATTCTCTCTCTCTCTCTAAAAAAATAAATAAAAACTTTAAAAAGAAATGACAGTAGATATTCGGTGTCTGTTTGTATGTTGGAGGGGAAAGGGAGGAACACTGTTGTGTTTTTGGTTTTGGTTTTTTGGGGGTTTTTTTGTTTTTTTTTTTGTTTTGTTTTTTTACTTTTTTCTCCCTTTCTTTTCCCTCCTTAGACAAAGCCCGTTGCATTTGCTGTTCGGACAAATGTCAGCTATAGTGCAGCCCACGAAGATGATGTTCCAGTGCCAGGCATGGCCATCTCCTTCGAAGCAAAAGATTTTCTGCATGTTAAGGAAGTAAGGAAAATAATTTGAATTTCTACCCGCCTGATGTTTTCACCTTGAAACATCATTTCTTATTTCTTATTGCCATGAAATAGCATTGCGTAGAGCTCCACTTGCATAACATGCACAAATTCAGCGCCTCTCAACCTTTTCTAATATAAATATAACCTTTTTAAAGAAGAAAGAAGTCACAGGCCTCTTGCAGTTAACCTCAGGGCTCCCCTGGGCTCTGTGACCCAGAAATTGGGAATTACTGGAGTAGATGATCCTTTTTTTATGCTTAACCTGTACTTTTCTTTTAATTTTTAACCTTGGCTGCATGTCGAGTCCCTCTCATGTCTCAAGTTTAACCATCTGGGGGAGAGTTAATAATAATACCTAGAATTCATGATCTCTCCTCTCTGCTGACAATGTCTGAAGGCGGACCACTGGTGCCCTGATCCTCCTTCGGGGAGTAAATGTCTGAAGCGGAGGGAGAATCGTGGGAATTGGAGCCATTGATGCAAGAAGCAGATAGCCAGACGCTCCCTTTTCCTCCATGCCGGAGGTCTCCACCTGCCAGTTAACAATGACTCCTGCCTGTACATTGGAAAAATTCACCCTTAATTAAGGCTTATTTTGAGTCAATATTTACCAAATACCAGCTGTGCAGAACATGGCATTAAGCGACCAGAAATTCCCCCTCAATGATGTTCTCAGTGTGTGAGCATGAGGTTTCCCCGGACCTGCAGGAGTGACCATTGGAACAGACTTCCATCTAAGGGACGATGTGTCAGGAAGAATGTATGTAAATTTAGCTGCTCACTAAAGTAAAGGAGGTGAGGACTCCCAATTCAAAAAGCCTAGTCAATGGGGTGCCTGGGTGGCTCGGTCGGTTGAGCGTCCGACTTCGGCTCAGGTCACGATCTCACGGACCGTGAGTTCGAGCCCCGCGTCGGACTCTGGGCTGATGGCTCAGAGCCTGGAGCCCGCTTCCAGTTCTGTGTCTCCCTCTCTCTCTGCCCCTCCCCCGCTCATGCTCTGTCTCTCTCTGTCTCAAAAATAAATAAACGTTAAAAAAAATTTTTTTAAATAAATAAATAAAAAAGCCTAGTCAAGACTCTAATAAAAAAAATTTATTAAAGAAAAAATAAATCCGTACTCTAAAACTCTGTGTAGTAAAGAGGTGTAGAGAGGTACAGTTTTAGCCTCGATTCAGAAATGTTTTTATATGTGTAAGAAAAAAAAAAAAAGCCTGGAGAATTGAGAACCTACCATTTCGTTAACTTTTTAGAAAGAGATGCGAAATACTGGCTGGAAAGGAAAGACCATAAAAGCTGTCAGAAATGGTGGCATGCCTACAATCTGACTTCACAGGCAGAAGTTAGGTTAATCCAGGGTCCCGTTCTGATGGCTGATGCTTAAAGACAGATCTCTTCTCTACCATGGAAGGAAAAGAAAAACAGAGTGGCCAGTCTTCTTTGAAATGTTCAAGAATAGACTGGCAAAGTACTATTCCATTGAGAGGATTAAAAACAAATCATAAAGATGTAGGATAAACTTTCTATCTGCAAGAGAGGAATTGTCAACATCCACGTAAATGGAGAAATCATCTGTGAACACCATACCATTGTAACTATAAACCTGTTGGCATAAAGGGAAATTTGGCCCCGGAACAAAATATTTCAGGTAGATTTCAGTATTTATCTCTGACTCTTAATATTTTTAAGCAATCTGATTACAGAAGAGAACTCTGTAGCACTCCCTGGTTCTTAATGGGAAGAATTGTGAATATTTGAACCAGGGGCCTGCAGAGGCCGCACCAAAGTTCAGGCTAATCTCACATAGTACCAGGAAAGAGAATGAGGGGTAAATCCTATGGTGAATTGCTGAGGTCACTGGCCATACTTCAGTCTTACCTGTTCAACCCATGAAAGCCTTAGGCTTTCTCCAGTTGTGATGTTGAGGCATAGTTAACTGTATTCGCCATAATATTTCTCTCCACTGAAAATAGTTCATGTAGAAGAAAAACAATCTGAATACATGAACTTCTGTGCACTGATCGTAACAAATTTGATTTTGCGTTTAGAAATTTAACAATGACTGGTGGATAGGGCGATTGGTTAAAGAAGGCTGTGAAATCGGATTCATTCCAAGCCCAGTCAAACTAGAAAATATGAGACTACAGCATGAACAGAGAGCCAAGCAAGGGAAATTCTACTCCAGGTATGAGAAAAACATCAAGTGTCTTTGTAAACGTCCAGACTGTGTCATCATTTATGTCCTCTTGTTTTCTGTGTTCCACAGTCTTTATTATGTGTTGAAAAGCAGACTGGTGATATGGTTTATTGATAGAATCACAAATCCTGCATTTTAAAGCCTTCATCCCAGCACCTGATTGTCATCTTATTTGGGAGAGAATCAAATTAATTGTTGTCGTTAATCATAAAGGCATGGAGTATTAAATGTGGGCTTCAGTGCAGAGGAAATTCTCAAGTCCTCATCTCTTACCGAAAACACTGGGACACTGAGCAGCCTTCATGACTAATCCGAGTGTCCGTGGTAGCTGCCTGGCATGGCAGGAAGGTGTTTTAGAGATGATGGTCTTAGACTTCACTGGCGAAGAGCAGGTCTTGTGACCTGTTACTTCATTTTCACTTAGGAAACTCCATTTTCAGTTCTACCCATCGCTAAGCACGTAAAGGGAAACTCAATATGAAACCAGTTATCGCTGCCTTTGCAGATAGCAATTAAATGAGTTATGTAATAAGCTGGGGCTGAATAATCCTTCTTAGGATTCTTGAGGTTGTGTGCCCCTCATTAAAAGAATCACTGGAGGAGCTACTCAGACATGGAGTGAATTTGAAATTGAACCCTATGCAGACGAGTCCGAGAACACGGCCTGATTCTTCTGCTTCTCCTTGTCGGAAGGGATGTGATTGGGGCAAACCTTTTCATTAATGTGAATTGCTAGGTTTCTATTTTCTTGGTTATATTTTGTTTCTATAATGCTGGAAGATCCTTTGCCAATGGTAATATTTTAGCACAGGCAAGATTTTCTTCCCCCAAGTATCTGCAAATAAGTCATCTAGAAGATCTTTTTTTTTTTTGGTTTGAAACATCCCTATTTTGTAACTGTCAGGCTGTTTGGGTTCAGGTGGATTCCTCCCTTATTTGAAACCTCTCCCCCATTATTTGGCTGTCATTAATCCCTGGGCTACTGGGGGCTCTCAGATTGTGAGATGCATTTAGTCCTATAAAAGTGGATGCACGCAGATCAACAGTGCATGCACATTTTACTTGTAGGGTGTTAGAGATCGGATCCTATTCATAAAATTTACAGCGTTCTCCTGGAAAAATTGTTATTTTTCTAATCTCTGTATTGATAGTAGTCTCTCAGTACTAACTAGTAAAATCTTATAATGTGAAAAAGTTTTCTTTTCATAGGGTATATATATTGCTGTTTTGACTTTGGTGGGATATAGTTTGTTGAGGTTTGAAGTGATCTCAGATAGGGGATTGTTTTGATTTTGTTTGTTGAGGATAATTCAGTATTTTCAAGCATTTACCTGGTCAAACAAGTTTAGGACAGTACTTGGTAATAGCAAATTACCTTAAAGCTGTTCCCAGCCTTTAATCTGTTCAGCCTATGAATCTGGATAGTGGGAGGGGGATATTTTTCAGGGATCTACTAAAATTATCTTGAACGTTTCTTGGTGCATGTCTTTGGAATCGTGTTTTGTAGAATGTATTGTAGGAAATTTGGGATGGGTTTTTACGGAGATAGACTTGTATATCTTTCTCTGCTTATTCACGTACAAACTGAGAATACTTCCCAAGGAGTAGGAAGGGTTAGAAGCTTTGGCCAACGTTGTTAAGGAAGCGCGGTTTCCTCTGTCTCCCAAGCGGGCATCCCTGGTCTGATGTCGGTCATCAGCTCAGCTTTATAAGAACCTGTGGGCACAAGAAGTATGAGCGTTTCCACTTCACGGATGAGGCGACAGGCAAAGAAGCTAGGGAACTTGACCAAGCTTGCACAGCTTGTAAGTGGTAGAATGAGGATGAGAACTCGATCCATCTGACTGTAGCCAGACCGCAGACGGACGACCATGCTATGCCACACGTCGTGTGGCAAGGGCCCGTTTTTATTTACTATATTAGATCGTATTGCTTTTGCATTTTTTCCCTTAAAGGACCATATAAACTATCTGTATTTGGGGAGTAACGCCTCATAACTTATTCTAGGGAGCTAGGTGACCTTTACTAGACCTCTGGATCTTTTCTTTTGATTTTCTTGATTTTATTTTGTCCTGGTTACCTAAGTTTTTGCCTCAGTATGTGAAGGTGTTTTTACTTTCAGAGGTCTTACGTTTGTCTTCTAACATCCGAAATACGGTTCGATTCTGAGGACATAGCCAGCATTCAGCAGTACGTAAAAAGCCTGATGTTTTTTAAATTATAAAAATCAACCGACATCAAAAGTGGCAAATGGGGGCAGAGCTCAAGAATGTGGCATTTGTCTGGAATTCAAAGTTAAGGGCAAATTTGCATTTTGAACATTTTGACTATTTGCAGTGGTTGTCGAAATTTTACACAATTCAAATAATACTTTGACTTTTATTAAAATTCAAAGAGAATGTAAAACAGACCCATGCTTGAACTGAAATTAGACTCAGTACCTTAGAAAAAGGAAAAGCAAAACCACACACACACAAAACGTCTGGAAGAAAATGTTTTGGTCCTGGTAATGGGTACTCTTACAGCTTCTATAAATACCACTTTTTATTAATTTTATATGCAGTCTGGTATTCTTATTAACTGTACTGGAGTACCTCTTAAGAATCGGGAAAAAGATACAGAGGCCTCCTGCTAGCTATTAAAGGTTTTGACGTTTGTCTATTTTATGCATCACAACGCCAGAATAGCAGCAATACGGTTGAGCCTGGTTACTGGTGTTTTAGTGGAATTCATATTTTTATCTTAATGTTTGTGTAACTTAAACATTGCCCTTTGGTGCATAGACACTGTAGCAAATTCTTTCAAGTACACCCACGATTGGCTCTGATAATAAACGTTAGGCGCTAAGATTGCCTTGCCAAAACTGCCTGTCACTCTTGTACGATATTCCTTTCCATCCTCTTCCTTAAGGGGCCATTTGGTAGTAGGGCATTTAGCATGCTGGTATGCCAGTGAAAAAACATAAACGCTCTGATTCCGATAACTTTATCCCGTAAAGTTGCTAAGACGCTGGCGTGTCTTGTTTCAGATTTTAGAATTTGGTGGTTCTGAAGTACACACTCTTCAGTTTGTGCCTAAAATCCCCAAGTTGAATCCTCCGTGGTAGGCAGGCTTGAGACATGTTCCGAATACTAACTACTATCAGAGGGTTAAATCACAGAACACTTGTGTGTGTCATGCTCCGTCGTGGATCTTTTAAAGGTTAGCAAGTTGAGTATTGCTGTGTTTTTCTTTTGTAGGTTGCTCACGAAAGCTTGCGTACTTTCAATCTTAATACACTGAAAGTAACCCAGCTAAGACAGAGAAGCAGGAACCACACAAGAAGGAAGTCATAAGTTTTGGTGTTAACTTTAAGGTTCTGTGCATTACTTCAGAAGGTCGCTAACATAAAAAGCAAAGGGCACCTGCGGTTATCTCTCTGTGATGCTGGTGGAGAGCGTGAGGGCCGCAGATATTACCCTAGTTCTCTTCCATTCTCTCAGGGCCTTTTAAAATTAAACCTTGAATTTGAAACAGAGACTATTACATGGCTGTTTCAAGTACTCCAGGAATCTCCGCTGGGAAATTATTATTTGCCTCCTTGTAGGAAAGACAAGTTTAAAGTTCAATAAAAAGACAATGACTAATCATGTTTATTGAGCAATAGAAATGTTCTAATGTCTGAAATAAGCATCAGGTGTAACATAAATTTTTGCTTTACTTCAGTAAATCAGGAGGAAATTCATCATCCAGTTTGGGTGACATAGTACCTAGTTCCAGAAAATCTACACCTCCATCGTCCGGTAAGTAGGTAATAAGTGCGAAACGGTACATTCTGCATTTCATGCTTTCCCCAGTCTGACCTAGTTGTGTGAATTTACATACCCAGAATCACCGCCTGAACCCTAGAAAGGTTCAAATTGATCGGACATAAGAATGCTCACATGGGGTAAGAAACAATATGGGGAAATTTTGGCAGGGCTTGGAAAAAAGGAAATATGTCAATGTGTTCGCTGTAAGCTGCTTGGATGACCAAAGTGATGAATGTATTTAACTTTTTTATCCCTACGTACTTCACATGGTGCCCAGCACGTCGTCCTGGGCAGTAAATGGGTGAATGCCCACCATCAGATACGGTGTAATGTGCGTTGGCCTCACTGTTAAATAAAAGGAAAAGAAGGATAAATGCTTTGGAAAGGCAAGGAAAGGAGAATAAAATGATGGAGTGATTGGCCTGACACGAGCTTTACCCAAAAGGCTCTTTGGAAGATTTAAGAGATACGTAGAAATATTGAAAAAGACAGAAACACTCATAGGAAGAGTAACTACTGTTTTCTTTCCAAAGCAGTGGAGAAGCACACCACATTAAATTTGAATTCAGATAAAGATTGAATAATTTTTTTAGTATAAGTAAGTATTGTGTGAGAAATACTTACAGTAAAAAAAAAATTGTTTATCTGAAATTCAAAGTGGACTGTATTTTTCTTTAGTAAATCTGGCAACTCTGGGGGCGCCTGGGTGGCTCAATCAGTTGAGCGTACGACTCTCGCTTTCGGCTCAGGTCAGTCTCATGGTTCGTGGGATCGAGCCCCACATCGGGCTCTGTGCTGACAATGCAGAACCTGCTTGCTTGGGATTCTCTCTCTCCTTCTCTCTGCCCCTCCCCTGCTCACTCTCTCTCTCTCTCTCTCTCTCTCTCTAAAAATCAATATACATTAAAAAAAAATAAAGCTGGCAACTCTACCCTTCTCTGTAGAACTTGGAGTTCTATGTGATTAGGAGGCCAGTTGGTGGAACTGTAGAAAGCCCAGGATTATCAGAATCTTAGTTTGCTAAGAGAGGCAACTGGGACTCAGAGGAGGACTCCAGGGAGTTACCAGCAGAGCATTTGAGTGAAATGATTCCTCGTGTGATTCCAAGGAAGCTGGAAGCGGGAAGCGTATACATCCGCGGAGAAGGTAGGGAAGTAGGTGCCCTCTAAGTGGTGTGTCTGAAGAACAGGATTCCCCTCGGACTCCTGATCAGGCCTCGTTGCTGAATGTTGGTGGCTTTTAGAGACCAAAGGCTTCTTAATAAAAATGATGCAGCTTCTTTAAGTGCAAAATCTGAGCACAATAAGAAATAAATCATTTTAGGATGCATATTGATTTCAAAAACCATGTACGTACAGCTTGCAATAATTCTGAGTTGCCCGAAATTAAGTAAGATCGTACGTTTGCAATGAAAATTGAAGCCCTTTTAGATGTTAGGTAAGGCTCATGCCTTCCCTTCATCAGTGGAGGGTAGCTACTTACTGAACGCACAGGGGAAAGGAGGCTGATCTCCACACCTTCTCAGATATGTAAAGTTACCGAGATGATGATATCAAGCTGTACCCTTCATGTATATCTTAAAGACTGTCTCAGAGGCTCCAGAGGACTGCCACTAGGCTCCTGAAACGGGGAAATGTCACATCATATTGGGAAAGAACTGCAGCCCCGTGCCCAGAAGTCCACGCCACTCCCGTAGACGAGAAGATTCTTCCATTTCCATAAACTGGGCTGTGGCCTTCTACTGGTTTTGGCGATGCGAGAGCAGGCCACGTGCATTTTGAAGAGTGAGTTGGTGTGTTTGTAAAATAACATTTCATTTTTGCCGGCAAGTGTCCTTCATCACTAAAACAAAAGTCCAAGTTACTACAGCAAGGTCAAGAAGATTTAAAACTTGACACAGGTTTTCTACAGATGCAGGGCTTTGCAATACCTTTTCACGAATAGCAAGAATAGAAAACACTTGGGACTGAAAAGACTGGAGACATTTGCCAACCACAAAATTTATAACAGGAACCTGCTATAATTTTCATATTTCAACTTCTCTGAAGGAAACCTTCGGAGAACTTCTGCAGAGATGTTTCCCCACCCCACCTGCAGGGTAGACTGCCTAATTCATCCAGTGTGGATTGGCCTCCAAAGGTAGCTTTTATCTTTGTTTCCCAGAGGCCCTGTCTACAATTCACCTCACCCATCGCTAGACCGAGGAATATAAGCATTTGCCTAAAGTAAATATTCTTGGAGGTTCTCAAGGATTTGGAAAAGGAAGAATTTCCACTTCACATCTGAGTGACTGGGTGGTAGTCAGTTACGGAACACATACCCCCCTACACTTACACGCATGTGCCCACACGAGTCCCCCCCAGGACGCCACTCCACCTGACCCAGGGGTCTTAAGGTGAAGTTTACAGTTTAGATTTCAAAAAATGTTTCCGAGGCTCTCTACCAGCAAAAAAAAAAAAAAAAAAAGGAATCATTCTAGTGAGGACCAATAAAAGAAACTATTTTCATATTTATGGAAGTAGTTTTTCCCACGTAAATACTAATGTTTGCTAAGGTCTGTAAACACAAGTATAAAACAGAAAAGGGGTAACCATCGGAGTCTAATAAAGTGTATGGAACTCTGGCTGAATGTTTTAGAATTCTCTGCGCTTCAGAGTGAACCCTGATGGCTTTTAAATTTAAGTTAACCATAAGTCAGAACTAATCAGCTGGAAAGTTCTCATTTGGGGGTTTTGAGCCCTTGTGTCCAAATACAGGTAAATTTCAAACCTGACTCGGGTTTTGAGGCTATGCGTGGGTCGCCAAACATCTGGGCAGTATTACAGCTGAACTTTTTATGCATATCCACTCCTACTATAAAATTTAAAAAAAGAATCCATCCACTGGGGTACCTGGGTGGCTCAGGGTAAGCATCCGACTTCAGCTCAGGTCATGATCTCCGGGTTCTTGAGTTAGAGCCCCATGTCGGGCTCTCTGCTGTCAGCATGGAATCCACTTCAGATCTTCTGTCCCCCTCTCTCTCTCTGCCCTTCCCCTACTTATGCATGCTCTCTCTCAAAAAAAAAAAAAAATTTCAAGGATTAAAAAAAAAAGCCCATGCACTGATCAGAGCAGACTAGATTCAATGGCCAAATCATAAAATCTAATTCATGAACTTTGCAATCCCAGGGTCCTGTCAGTTCTCACATGCCAGTAGGTAACCCTCGATTTCAGAAAGGCTCTCAGGAAGTACTCTCCCCAGAAGGTCGCCTTTATAAGCCCAAGAAAAGATGAGGAAGGTAAAAGTGTATGGGCACGTGCCACCAGAAGGGAAAATGATCTGACGTTGGTTAAGAGAGGTATTAGAAATCGTGAAAAACCGACCCCAATCCTCTCCATCGTATCCAGGAAGACACTAACAACCTGCTTCCTAAGTGGGGATACAAGGAACACCTTACAGGGTTGTACAAAAGCATCCATTCAACCCCGCGGGCACATTTTGTAGTGTTCCCATCAAACACTACATGCTGAACCTTTTAGCGCCTCAGTATGCATGGATGCTGCACAAAGAAAGACTTCATTACCAGGGAGGTCTAACTAAATATTTGGAATTAACTCAGCCTGTTATTACCTTCACTGGAGAGAGAGAATCCTACCTGCTGTTTCCGCAAGCAGTAGTTGATGTGTGCAATATCATGCAAACGGTGCCGGGGAGTTCCTTCATCGCCTGCCTCCGACCTAATCCGATGAATCAAAGGAACAGTTAAACGAGGGTTTCGTTTAGCTTTCAAAAGGCTGAGTCACCTAATATCCGTAATCGCTTCAGAATTGAAGAGTGCTGTGACGGCTGCCGGGTGACCTGCCCCCGTCGAAACGGTCAGCAGCGGCTGCCGTTGCGTGAACCCGATGTGTTCCTCGTGTGAAGGAATGGTAGGGGCTTTGCAGCACCGAACTGTCATGCCCAGATGGCAGTGAAGATATCTCTGAAGATACTGTGGGTTTTTGTTAGACGGAGTAGATTTTCTCCTATTCCTTTCCATGATCTCAACTAAAGCATAGACTGATTTTCTCCTGAGCTCACCTCTGTGGTACCTTCCTGAATCCTGACGGTGAGGATGCAAGCCCTCTTGGAAAGCACAGGGGACTGGAGAAGGAAGGGTACCTGGTGGAGAGAGGGCTCACCTGGAGAGGCAGCGGGGTGCAGGGACGGGGCAGGGCTCGCAGAGGCAAACCTGGGTTCCGAGACCTGGCCCTGCCGAGTTTTTTGCCAAGAACAAGTCCCTGAAACTCTTTAAGAGTTTATCATCTCAGCCTTAAAAATAAGAGGGTTGAAAGCGATCTTCCAAATACTTTCCAGCCCTGATTGTGCAGTGGAGAAAATTCTGTAGTAATGGCACGTGGAAGCATTTTATAAAGTTCAAAATGAGATTATGGATCATTTTTCACTTAACGCTTAATCTTTAAGTGCTGCAGTTTTCAAGGCTGAAGGTTTTAAACGTGAAATCAGGTTGAACCACAAACCTAAACCTCTCGCTCTCCAGACAAGGAGACCGGTGCCACATTCTCTTGGGTCTTTGTGTCCCTCCTCTCTGCCTCTCTTATTAGATCCAGTGGCTTCACACAAGTCACTGGAAGTCCCCTTATGTCATTAGAATCATTTCATCTGGAGATCGTGGGGTCCAGTGCTTTCTAATTAGCAACTAATGAGGGGGATACAACCATCTTGAAATAGTTTTAATGCTGTCCTTCCCGGAACACTCCCTGAATCATTTGCCTCGTGTACGACTCCTTTCTTTGCGTTGCCCGAATTTAGGATTTTCTGTTCTCACGTTCGCTCAAATTCCTGTTGCATTTTTAGCGAAGCTTTTCACGTTGCCCTTACTTTCCCACAAAATCAAGCAAAACTCCGAAGCCTGGGGCACACCGTGATAAAGGTTTCCAAGAGTAGTTGCTCATTATCTAAAAGCTGAGTTAAGGTATCGGGAGACGTGAAGCCAAATGTTCTGTACCATACTTACATACAGTTGATGTGGAAAAATGTCAGTGTTCTGTTTGAAGCTACACCTTAAAAATGTTTCTCCGGAAATATTATCCGAGAGATCTAGCATAACTTTGTTCAAGCAAACCTATCACGAAGGGGATCTTTGGGTGTTGTTCGATTTGATTACATGGCATTCTTAACGTGCCTTACCTTGAAATTTTACTTTGTTTACTGTGCTGAGCACTCGTGATAGAGCTTTTACTGTGGTTAGTTTGATTTGCTTTCATTTTATTTTTTTTTTATAACCTGTTTTTCCTCTCCTGTCTACCTGATGATTTTTGAATTGTTTGTCTGTATATAGCTATAGACATAGATGCTACTGGCTTAGATGCAGAAGAAAATGATATTCCAGCAAACCACCGCTCCCCTAAACCCAGTGCAAACAGTGTAACGTCACCCCACTCCAAAGAGAAAAGAATGCCCTTCTTTAAGAAGGTAACATTAACTTCCAAGCTCCCGTCTGCTCAACTGCTCAACCGCACTGCGCCACCCTTCTCGTCCTGTTGATTGTCTGCGTCTTTTGATAAGCCAATAACGTGCATGCTCTGTTATTCTTTGTTTCTTTTCCACGCTGCTGTAGCTAAGCAGAAGCAGAGATCGGTAAGTTTACATTGACATAAGCTGTGTTTATCCTGCCACTGGCATCATTAGCATTAAGTCCCACGGTTTTATTAAACGCAGTCATTTCTGTCCCAAGAAAAGAACCTATCAAACAAGCTCATGGAGTCCATGCATTTCAAACTGACTAAATTCAGGGAGTGACCTGTTCAAGCACTATTACAGTACTTATCCTTTTTGATGGAATAATATCTACCACCAAGGGAATTTGTTGAAACCTTCCAAGATGTCAAAACACTGACAACTCCATATAATGCACCTGTATTGTGCATGCTTATTGTCTGTCTTTGTCTCTTTTCTTTTTTCCAGAAATTTAACTTATATCAAGCATATTAAAACCATGATTAGATTCTGATTGATGATATCCAGATACAATAGCTTGTACTAAAAAAAAAAATGATTCAATTTTTAGTCAGTATTTAAACTTCTGATCCACTAGGTGCAAACTCTGCAGATGAACAAGACCAGTGGAAAACTGCAGGCTTGTTTTGGCGGTTTACTGTGAGTTTTTCCTATTGTCATATATAAATCCTCTCCCGATGTTCTTGCCTTCTCCCATAGTCAGGTCGCAGCATCTCACCTGTTGGATAACAGGGCGGTGGCCGTGCGTAGAGCCTTTGCCACCGGCCCGCCAAGGTGCCGCACAGTGATGCTCCTTGTCCCCTGACTGGAAACCAGGGTATTCCCAAGTGCCCTTCACTCCAAAGTCTGTCTCCTTTCGCACATTTTGTAGCTTGAAAGCATTATTTTTTAAAGACCTTCCCCCCTCCCCCGACACACACACACACACACACACACACACACACACACACGATTGCCATTCAGTCCTTTCTTCTCACACACACCACTTTGCACAGCCTACTGCTGTGCTGTCTTTTGGAATCCTACTTCCCAGCATCACCATGTCCAGCATAATGATGGGTACGTCGTGACATGGATGCAAGCATTTTGCTACATGGAGGAACTCTAAAATCATCCATGAAGTGTCAGAGGCTGAACTGTGAAGTGTGTTGTTGTTTTTCTTTTTCTTTTTCTTTTTTTTTAATAAATGATGGTTACATTTATAATAGAAGACCTCAGCACTCCAGGCAAAAATGAAAACCTGGATTTTTGCGTTAACATGGACAGCCCCAGCCTGATGTACGTCCACACCAGTGGGCCCATCTTGCTGGTCCTGTCTTCTCGGCGCAGCTAAAACTTGCAGCCAAGTGACTACCAGTCTTCATAGCACAGATGCCTAGAAAATCTGCATCCTTCAGATGCTCTGGATCTTACAGAGCAGTGACCTGAACGAAAACCACGTTAGTCAAGATGTGTTTTTTGAAGTTTGCTTTCTCTTAAATTCCCAAACCTTACAGATGTCTATGAACCACGATTTTTTCAGCTACACAGTTGGAACAAAATAGGGCTAGCGGGAAAGGGTAGATAAAAATGATGGTGTCGTTATCACTAGGGCACAAAGTACCAATATTCCATCAAATAAGGTAATTTCTGTAGCTACCCTATCGAATACGAAGCTGATTGATGACCGGCATGGGTAACCCTTTGCTAGTTGGTAGCCACAGACTGAAGGAACCAAGACCTTATGTATGAAATCCTGGGCCGCTTAACCCTTACAGGCTTGAAATAAAATTTCTTGGTAGCCGTTGCTGAAATATGTGCAATTTATATTCCTGATCCCAACAGTGGAAAAGGTATTCTTCTACTGAATAGTTATAAGGACTCGGCTTCTAAACAGTTTCAGTATGATCCCAGGTGTTATCAATGTAATAACAAATATGCTTATGATGCCTTCGGCACTGGTATTCATTCTTCTTGTGTTACTGATTATGTGGTGAACTTCAATGTAGAGCTCAAAAACCAAAAGCCAACCTGACATTCACCGATACGATTGTTTTCCATCTTTTAGGTTGCTTTTAGAGTGGTGCTCGTGGCATTTGTGCTGTTACTGTATTATGTTTGTCTTGTTTTTTTCTTTTTTTTTTCCTGTTTGAAAATGTATTCTACCTTTCTTGTGTCTATTAAAATTAATTTTGAACACTAGCTAAAGTTTTAAGGAGTAAAATTGGACAGCACATGGCAGCGTTATTTTTGTCCCCAGAATGGATCTGTCCTCTACTATGGGCGGAATCACAGGTTGAAACTACAATGTTTTTTACTGCCCACTCCCAGCCCCCACCTGAAGCAAGTTAAGTTTAGTCAACGTCAGAAAGTTTGCAGTGGGCAATTTTAAGCAACCATACACTGTTCTTGAGCAACAGGCTGATGCAGAAATTGCATTCATGTTTGTACATCAGTTTTTCAAATTCTTAAAATAGTTAAAAAAAATTTTTTTTGTCTGTGTGATTCTTTAAACATATAGTTTTCAGGCACTCCTTAATGCAGGAAGATTCAGATAGTAATGATTTGTGTACCTCACTGTGGGAGATCTTCTCTGTCTCTCTTTTGCATTAAAAAAAAGTCCTCTGGGGTCCGTGTAAGCACTTTCTGCTATAGAAATAGCCACTTTTAATGTGATCAAACAAATTAGCTGTTACCTGATTTTTGGGGGAAAAATTTTGATCATTTTATGTGAAGCGGTTAAAGCTGAAACTTTTTGGAAGTTTTAGAAATTGCTACAAAATGTAGCTCATTCCCCTGCTCTTCCAAGAAAGAAAGAAACTATCGTAGAAAGGCATGAATTAGTTATGTAACAGAGACATGACCTAGGCCGCTCATGAGAAGCATATTAGATGTGCGAGTTGATAATGAACCTTTTGAGGCCCCTGCAGCATGCTTGAATATGTTATCACACATTAACCCCCTTTCTTCCAAGGCACGTAAAGGCTACATTTTAAGTTTTCAAGTTCCAAGGTAGAGAAACCCAAAATCCAAAACCATGAATCACTAACCTGTGATAGGGATCCTTAGAACAGGCCTGCCTGTTAATTGAAATTCTCACAGTACAATAGGGATTTGCAAGTATTTGGTAATGGGCGTTACAGTGTTCTGAAATTAGGTTTTATCCAGGTAAGACCAACATCCAGGATGCAAAGCTAATAAGACCTTTTTTTTTCTCTGCAATTAACCACGTTAGTCTGATCACTCAGCTCTTCAGAAAACTCTCAGATGCATTTAAAAAGCAGTATTAACCTCCAGTCCAGCCTAAACACTTCTTCTGCATGAGGCATGTTTCTGTCCTTCCAACTAGATTTTGCTGAAAAGCAGCACTTCCTGCTTTAGGAACTAATATGTCAGTAGTATTTCTTGAGGCGAGCAAGAAAACTGTAGACAATTCAGTAAGTTGAAAAACCTTAGGAAAATAAGCCCACCATGCTTTGCTTGGGTTTATTGAGGAAAGAGGCAAGTAAGAAAAATAAAAGAAAGGAAAGAAAGAAAGAAAGAAAGAAACAAAGAAAGAAAGAAAGAAAGAAACGAAAAGAAAGAAACAAAGAGAAAGAAAAAAGAAAAGAAAAAAAATTTTTGGAAAGCCGGTGCCTCCTATGACAGAGTTCAGGAAGAACAATTTATACTTAAAATATCTCAGCTCCCCCTGCCTCTTAACCATCTGAAGTCTTCTCCTCTCTCTCTGCAGACAGAGCACACTCCTCCTTATGACGTGGTACCTTCCATGCGACCCGTGGTCTTGGTGGGCCCATCTCTGAAGGGCTATGAGGTGAGTGGCTGCCCTCCGGAGCACACGTGACCTTCACCAGCAGCACTGCTTTGTGACTCCACCTCCCTCTTGAATTGAGACCTTAAAGAGCTCGTAGCAGCAAAGCATGTTATTTTCCAGGCTGTGGTACATAGTGCTTCCTGTTTTGTTCTGTTTTTATGGATGTTGCTTTGGAGATTTTGCTAGCTTTAGTTTACTCAGTCTGGGGGGAAACAGTATCAAACGGAGAGCTGCCCGAAACCACTTGCGATGTCATGTTATTGTCACTAAAACATCAGGAGAAGTTGGGGGAACGTTCCCGTTTTAATTGTCACTGCTACCACAACTCAGCAACGGAAATAACGTGACAAGTCTCCCATGCTACTTTTTCCAAAGGGGAAGCATAGGGTTTTAAACAGTCTGAGGAGTAGAAGTGTTTTATCCTAATTAGTAATATTTTTATTGTGTCTTATTAATTTATTGCTTGCTCAATTGCAGGTCACAGATATGATGCAAAAAGCATTGTTTGATTTTTTAAAACACAGATTTGAAGGGCGGTGAGTATTTCAGGATACTGGATTTTGTGGATTTCTTCTTGATGGTGACAGAACCCGGGTGGGACAGGCGTGTGATCCCAAGAGAAAAATGCCCTCTGAGGTCTCTATGGTGATGGGCAAGAAGTCTCGTTCAGTTCAGTCTGATTCAGAAAATATCTGTCATACTTGCTCAGCACATCCTCAGCCCTGGATTAGCCAGCTCTCTGTCCCTGCACCTGCATCTATAAGCTTTTTGGCCTGTTGACTAGTATCACCCTAGAGTCAGCTGGCTCTCAATGCTGCACAGATATAATATACATCGTCTTCTCACTTTTCTGACGTCTGTACCATCTCCTCTCTCACCAATTCCCAAGCCCCTTGTCATCTCTCTCCCCCATGGAGGCAAACAGAGAACCTCTAGAGTTGCCACGCCCACACCGAGCCCCACTTGCGTGTTTGCTGGAATGCCCTCTTTTTTTCCCTGTCACTACGTTCCTAGCAATGGCCAACCCAACGACTTGGGCACTTAGATCCCTTCCTACCCCAACACAGCTGGAGAATCCTTTCCTTTCTCCTTATCGCTACTTCTCATTCTAATGGAAACTCCATCAGCATCTAAAAAGGTACTTTCTCCCTCTGAAGAAAGTTAGAACGTCTGTTCCCCTCTAGCTGCTCCATTTTTCTCCTTTTCTTTTCTTTACAGCAAAGCTCCTTGAGCCCACAGTACACACTTGTTCTCCTCTCATACTGAAGTGTACTCCAGTTACGCATCCATCGCTCAACCCAAACTAGTCCTGTCAGATCGTCCGTGACTTTCACCATCGTTAAATCCAGGGGTGAATCCTCAGCCCTCCTCGTAACTGACATGTTGGACTGCCTCATCGTCATTTAAATACTTTGTTTGCTTGCTCCCTACAAGCACACTTTCCTGGTTTTTCTTTTATCTCACTTTGTCTCCTTTCTCTCCTTGGCTGGTTCCTTCTCATCAGCTAGACATCTGGGAGAACCCAGGGTTAAGTCCTTTGGTGTTCTCCCTTCTAGTTACACTCATGCCGTGAATGATTTCATTTTAAGACTTTGAATAGCACTCCTTCGCCGGTCTGTCCGCCGAATTCCAGACCCATATACCCAGCTGCCTGTTAGGATCACCACTAAGATGTCCAATGGATTTCTCAAACTGAACCTCCCAACTCCCCTAAAGCCTGCTCTTCTCATAGTCTTCCACACCTCAGGTATAGCTGCTTCATCTCTTAGTTCTAACACCCATTAGCCACAAATCATTGAATCATTCTTTTTTTTTTAATGGTTATTTATTTTGGGGGGGGGGCAGAGAGCGGGTGTAGAGAGAATCGCAAGTGGCCTCCAGGCTGTCAGCACAGAGCCCAACACGGGGGTCGATCCCCCGAACAGTGAGCTCATGACCCGAGCCTACATTAAGAGTCAGACACTCGGGGCGCCTGGGTGGCTCAGTCGGTTAAGTATCCGACTTCAGGTCATGAACTCACGGTTTGTGAGTTTAGGCTCCGCGTCGGGCTCTGTGCTGACAGCTCAGAGCCTGGAGCCCGCTTCGGATTCTGTGTCTTTCTCTGTCTCTGTTCCTCCCCCACTTGTCCTCTCTCTCAAAATTAAATAAAGATTAAAAAAATTAAAAAAAAAAAAAAAGAGTCGGACACTCAACCACCTGAGCCACCCACGTGCCCTGAATCATTCTTGACTATTCTTTTTCTCTTACATTCCACATCCAAATGCTGTTGTATCTTTAAAATATATCAAGAATCTACCGACTTCTCACACATCCTCTGCTATCCTTTTGGTCTAAGACCCCATCATCTCTTCCCTGGATTATTATCATAAGTTGCCTCCTAACTGGTATCATTGCTTCTATCATTGCTTCCTTAATGTCTCTTCTCAATTCAGCAGCCTGAACAACCCTGTTAAACTGTGAGCCAGATCCCATCACTGGGTTCAGACCCATCCCATGACTTCTCTTTTTACACAGAGTAAAAATCAAAGTCCTTATAGTGGCCTTTAAGACCCTCTCTGGTCTGACCATGCACACCCCCACACCCTGCCTTACTTCCGACCTCATCTCTTACACTCTCCCACTTGCTCATTCTGTTCCTGCTGTACGGACTTCCTTGTTCCGGGAGTGTGCCAGACAGCCAGATACATGCCCACCTCAGAGCCTTTGCACTTGCAGTTAGTTCCCTGTGCCAGATACTCTTCTTGGTATATGTGCACACACATACACACACCCATCCCCTCTTCCTTCCTTTTTTCCATGAATCTTTTATGTATTTATGAATTTTGTTTGTTGTCATTCTCCCATAGTTGGAATATAAACTCCATGAGGGCAGGTTTTTTGGTTTTTTGTTGTTTTTTGTTGTTGTTGTTGTTTTTAAATCTCTTATATGAACTGTTGTGTTCTCAGTGCCTGGAACTGCGCCCATTGTGAACAATACTTGTGGGTGACTGTTGAATGAATGTCTCCTATATGTGTCCTGCTAGAGATACGCAGAGATGTCGAAGCCATTCACTGTCTTTGTGGACCTTAGGTGTCGAACATCAGTTGAAATTTCGACCAGTGACATATAAAGTGAATGAAAGGGCAGCTCAGCATGTGTGTGTCTGGGGTAAAGAGAGGAGGGAGGAACACTGACAGGGATGTCCTCTCTAGGAAAGGTTTTAAAGTGGTAGCTAAGATTTCACCAACTCGAATTAGAAAGGCATTAGAAAGGATGTCCAGGCATCAAGGTGTGGTACAGCATCATGGGGAAGGCAAGCTAGCTAGAGGTCTTTGAGTCAAGTCCCTCGACAAGGAGTGACTGGTAACAAAGCCAGGGCCATATCTAGTGGGTCGTGTTAATGGGCTTGGACTGAATCCTTTTCCTCTTTTCCCCTTCCCCCTCAGCTTGCTTCAGCAAGTTTTATTGAGCATACTCTATGTGCCAGGCATTGCGAGGAGCAAAATCAGACAAGGGCTTTGGCTTTAAGGAGCTTGCTTCAAGTTCACTGAAAGGAAGCCTTGAGTCAGATAATCAGTGGGCACCGTGGTCAAGGTTAAGCCGCTTCCTGAAGCATCAAAGAGATGATAGGAGTCTAAAATGGAGACTTCGAAATTTAAACAAAGAGTTGATTGTAGGGGATGTGGGAACATACTGGGCTGGTTTAAATCTCTGCATTTTTAACAAGACAAATTTGGTGCCTCTCCTCGATACTCCTTTCCTTCTTGTATCCTAACAACACAGGTACAATAGATGGTATCTGTGGGTTTCCGTGTTCTTTTATATTTCTTAATATACTGCTTTTTCCTTGACCACACCTGCTTCTATAGCCATTTCTAATTTATATTGGCTTTCAGCAAGGGAGGCCAGGACAAGAAAAGGACAGAAAGAGGCAGAAAAGGAAAGCAGACACTGATTTGAGGTATAAAAAAGACTTGGTAATCAGGATACACCTAATCAAACGCTCCTAATTTGGTTTTTTTTCCCCATAACTTTATGAAGTATTTTTCACTTTGTACCAGGAAAACATAGTCTTTGGCTTGGTCCAAGGCGACATGTCGGGCACTGGCCAAGTGAAAAAGGCATAGTCCTGACCAGGCTTAGTTACTTTTCGGTTCTTCGTTGTTGCCTCTGTCATTTATCCTAGTTTGGGATGGTCTTCGTGAGAATGCACACCCAGAAAATTCTCTTAGACAAAGCACTATGCTTTCTGTCGCTGAGTTAGCCCACTGTCCTTTCCAAAACCCCAAAGATGGAGAAATGAGATGGTATTTCCTTGCTGTCTAAACCTAGTAAGTTCTGAATTTGGAACACAGATGCCAGCCATAGGGTATATCTTGGACCCATGTTCTAAAGTATTATCCATTCAGTCTGATTTCATTTAAGAGATAAATGAACCAAATATGTGAATACTATATTGATTTGCTGCTTCTGGCCAGGAGTAATTTCCACATGGTTTTATTAATGGGCCTGCCTTGGCTTATCTGACCCATAAAGCTCACGTTTAACACTCTAGGCTTGGGATCACCTAGTAAAGATCCTCAAAGGAATTAACAGGGTCCATAAGATACACTTACAAAAATCCATGCAAAAATTGAATTTTTTAACACATGGCAAGACATCCAGAGTCCCTGAATCATTAAATGTCTTTTGGTTTTGGCACGAATAGGGGAAGGAAGAAGTAAGAATTAACTGCTCCTTAATTATCTATGAAATAAACTAAATTTATTTTTACAAATTGGAAGCCCAAGGGGAAGAAAATATAAGAGGAAGTGTTGGTGAGGAAGAGACTGTTGACAGGAATTCTTTTCTGTTCTTAAACCTAGTTAGGTTCATTTGTTGAAGCCCTGGAGAGTTGTCAGAATCGTGATCCTTGCTGTTAAATAGCGTTAAAGTGTGTCAGGTCAAAGAAGAGATGATAAATCATTATCTTCTCTCTGTTGTGTGCAGTGGAGTAGCCCATTTAAAATCAGATCCATCCTAACCAACTGTGTCCTGTAAACAAAGCAATCTTCGGATTCACCTTGTAGGACATTGACAGGTAAATTAACAAGGAAATTGAGGACAAGAAGGAGAGCTACCATCAGTGATAAATTTGGTTTTCCTTCCTAGTGACTTTGCAAATGTTAGCCGTCAGCACTGAAGTGTCTGGAATGCGAGCTGAATTGTAGGGATACGTATGCTGTTGAACCTTCTGTGAGGGAATTTTACTGGAAATCAATAATCCTGGGAAACATTACATCGCTGTATTCTGTCGTGTGGATAATTTGCTTAGATGTGAAGACAGCTTCTTCTAAACTGGTGGTTATCTAGCCTGGATGCATATTAGAATCCTCTGCAGCACTTTAAAAATAAATCAGAGCAAACAACAAAGGCTTTGTGCCGCCTGTGACTGAAGCCCAGTCTCTAAGGAAGGACCTAACATCACTTTCAAAGCCTCCATGGCAGTTTTGATATTCCGAGAGGGTTTAGAGCCACGACTCTAAGTTGAATCGTCCCCCAAATTTTGCCCTTGTAATTTTCAAGGTCCCTCTTTTGACGGAACCCCAAGTGGTGACAATCCCCAAGGCACACTTAAGGAGTTGAAAAAGGATAGTGACCCCACTTCACACAGCTGACAGAGCTGCCCGCCGAAGCAGGTCGTTGGGTCCTCAGCTGAGCATACCATGTGTGGAAAGGTCTGAGCATGTGAGGGAAGGAGGATGTGTTATTATAGAAAATCCCGTCCTGCTGCTGAATCAGTTTCCCCACAGGCTGTGTGGTGCTCTATGGTCTCGTCTGTCTGGTCACCACTGTGTGCCCAGGGTGGTGCCCATCACAAGGCAGCTTGCCTCCCAGGGAGTGCCCAGACCCAGACTGTGGTCGCCAGCAGTACCTGGGTCCCATCCAGCTGTACTGCTGCAATGCCCCCCACTTCAGATGCTCACTCTTCCCTCCGCCTAGAACACCCTGCTCACAGTGTCCGTGTGGCTCATTCCCTCACTTCCTTCATGCCCCTGACCAAAGGTCAACTTTCCTGAAAGGTCTTCCCTGAACACAAATGTACCCTCCCCTGCACCCCATCTGTGTCTTCATGACCCTCCATTATTTTTGTAATGGCTTTCTTACCACCTGGCATCACACGTGTCTGCTTCCTTCCTCTCTCCCTACATCCCACAAGAATTTGAGTTCCAGAAGAGCACCCTCATGGCTGGCGCATAGTAGGCACTCAATAAATCGGTGTTGGATGAGTGACCCCCTCCGTGGTCAGGCAGATGCTCAATTGTCACCTCCTTTGCAGCTGGAGCTTCCCAGATTGTGTCACCCTAGCTACTAGACCCACCCCCAAATAAACAAAAACATGTTAAATGATTACTAAGCATTGGGTGTTTCACCTGTAGCCTGATTTCACTTGTGAATGCATTTTGAAATAATAATGAAACGATGTTTAGATTGATGTTTTAGTGTCTCTTTTCTGGTTATTGCTTTTCTTACATGTTAAATAAAATTCTCCTCAGTGGACAAAAAGCCCAAAAATCCAATACTTATTTTTTAAAAAAACAGCAGTCCCACTCAGCAGTAAGAAGAAATGGAAACGTACAACAATGTAGCTGAATCTCAAATCCATTATGAGAAGTGGAAGGCGCTCCATTCAGAAGGCTACAGTGATACTCTGTAAAAGGCGAAGCCAGAGGGATGAAAGGCAGTTCTTTGGGTGCCAGGGTTAGGGAAGGGGGGCGAAGACTGACAATAAAGGGGGCAGCACAAGGGAATTGGGGGGGGGTGTTGGTAATGGAACTATTTCTTATCATGACTGTGGTTGCAGATAGAGGATTCTATGAATTGGTCCAAATTGATGGAATCAGTCACCAGAAAGATGAATTTTGTGACATATAAACGCGCATTTCTTTACAACAGCCCGCAGTCCCTTCCCCCATTTTACCAAATGCCCTGTGCTTCAGTTGGCAACCACTCTAAACTACTTTAGGTGGCCCTTTTGCTTCGTTACTCCTTACCTCTAGATAACGTGCTCGATTTGCTACTTGAGTTTTCGGTGTTAGGCTTTATCTATTGACTTCCTACCTTGCAACATATTTACCTCTCCTGCATCTTACAGCTGTTTCTCCCATACCTGCACACATCTCCTCTTTCAGTCTCCCAACGGTTAAATCTTAATTTCAGCTGGTTCCATTTTTACTATGTATTATGACCTTGTGGGTAATATTCAAAGGAGCCATACAGCACGCTAAAGTTCTTTCTTTGGTGTTTTCTCATGGGAACCATGAGATAAGTAATTTTACTTTTCATGCTTGCTTAACTTTCTCTGTATTTGGCCCTAACTGAGCCCTTAATTCCCCAGTTGTCTGAACCACTCCGCACCCCCCCCCCCCCCACCCCTGCAGCGTATTGAAATGCATCCTGTAGTCACTCAACTTCCTGAACCTCTGGGGGCCTTCTGTCATTCTGCGACGTCTTTCACCTTTATTCTTGGGGTTTCCTTCACCCCCCCTTTTGGGTTGGAGCCCCTCTTCCTTAGATCCTTTGATCGCTTTCAGGGTTTCCCTGTCATCTCAGTCCACAACATCCTCTAGTAGTTTCCCTAGAAAAGTACAGAGCTTTTGGAGGCCCTGAATATCTAATAGTGTCTTTAAGCAACTCTTCCATTTGAGAGTTAAAATGGCTATAGAATTCTGATTGGAATAATTTCCCCTTAAAATTCTGACAACTTTTTGCTCCATTATCTTCTGGCTTCCATTGTTGCTGTTAAGAATTACAGGACACGTGGGGCACCTGGGTAGCTCAGTTGGTTAAGCATCTGACTTCGGCTCAGGTCATGATCTTACAGTTCATGAGTTTGAGCCCCATGTCAGGCTCTGTGCTGACAGCTCACAGCCTGGAGCTTGCTTCAGATTCTGTGTCTGCCTCTCTGTTTCAAAAATAAACATTAAAAAAATTAAAAAGAATTACAGGACACTTAGTGTGGGACCTGTCTTTTTCCTTTGTCCCTCATGTCATGAAATTTGTGAAGACTGAGTCCCGGTGTAGAACTTTGAACCTTTGTGCCCATCCTTTTCAATTTGGATAATCAGACTCTTATGGAATTAGTATTTTTTTTTTCTTTTTTGGTTTCCTCTTCTCTGCTTTCTTGATTCTCTCTTTTTCTGGGACTCTTATTATTTGGAAGTTGAATCTGCTGGGTAATTCTCTAACTTTCATACCTTCTATTTTCTCTCTTTGCCTTTTACTCTTACTTTGTTTTATCCTTTGGATTTTCTTATGTTCCAGCTATTGTTTTCAATTTTTATTTCTGCTTTTTAATTTCCAACGACTCATTCTGAGTTTCTAAACAGAAATTTGTTAGTTTCCTGGATATAATAATCTCCTGGCTTTCAACTTTGAATACAGCTGGCCCTTGAACAACACGACTTTGAACTTGTGTGGTTCCACTTACATGAGGATTTTTTTTAATGTTTCTTTATTTTGAAAGAGAGAGAGAGAGCAGGAGGGGCAGAGAGAAGGAAAGAGAATCCTAAGCAACCTTCACACTGCCAGCACAGAGCCTGATGTGAGGCTTGAAACCATGAAACTGCAAGATCATAACCTGAGCCGAAACCGAGAGCCAGATGCTCAACTGATTGAGCCACCCAGGTGCCTCTGCCTCACTTTTTGAGAAAGAGAGATCAAGGGAGCACGTGTACGTGAGCAGGAGACGCGCAGAGGAAGAGAGAGAATCCCAAGCAGGCTCCACGCTGCCAGCGGAGAGCCTGATGTGGGGCTCAATCTCAAGAAGTGTGAGATCAGAACATGAGCTGAAATCAAGAGTCACTCAACTGACTGAGCCACCCAGGCGCCCCTATGAGATTTTTTTTTCAATAAATATATTGGAAAATTGGGGGGAGGAATTGTGACCATTTGAAAAATCCTGCCAGTGAACCAATTAGAAATACTGGAAAATTAAGAAAAAGTTAGTTATTATAAGAATACAGAATATATAACATACAAAATATGTGTTTATAGCTTATTTACATTATCAGTAAGGCTTCCAGTCAACAGTAGGCTATTAGTTAAGTTTGGGGGCAGTCAAACGCTCTATGTGGATTTTTGACTGCACAGGGTGTTGGTGCTTCAAACCCCCATGTTCAAGAATCAACTATATTATTCATACTGGTGCTTTTTCTGTTTGTTTTGGTCTCTCTCATGTTAGAGCTTTTCCTGAGACTCTCAGGGAGTGCTGTGGGGCTCCTAAGAATGGGGGTATCACATGATCACTTGGAAATTCTATGCTCACAGGTGGGGCTTGTCAGCTTCATGCTTCCCTATAGGACAGGCTCACTGGACCATCTAATTGGAAACCTCCAATGTCCTTATCTTGGGGTCTCCTCCCTTTGGCAGTCAGTTTTCCCATGGAAAGATCTTCCATTCTGACCCCTGGAGGATGTAAGCCTGGCTGTCAGATCTGTAAGACAGGGAAGAGGGCTGGTGGCCCAACATTTAGAATCCTTTCTTTTCCATCTAGTGTCCCTGTCCTGTCTCTGCCTAGGGTCTCCTGGTCAGAGGCCCTGTATTTTACTGCCTGTAGGGAATCAACCAGTGGTGTTAAATCACACGGGGAAGGGAGTATCACCTGGCGACTCGAGGGGAGGTGGGGGGCTAGAACTCTGAAACAGACTTTTCACCAAACCTCGTGTTTTTAGTTTTGCCTTCAAACTATCATGAGGTATCATGAGGCTTCTATTTTACTCAACTATTCCCGTTACTGACTTAGATATTTACTTCTCTGGGTCTGTCATCTTACTGTTTCCAGCTTCCAAATTGTGGTGCTCTCATTTCTACCAGACCTAAAATGAGCCCCCTAATTCCTTACTGTCACAACACCCTATCTGTCCTCTCTCTGACAGCCATCTTGATCTTTTAATTATTTTGTTAATTTTCTTATTTATTGTCCATCTCTTCCACTAGACTCAAGTCTGGTAGAGCGCTTCATCCTTGGTAAGCCCACAACAAATGCCGAGTAAGGAGGTGCAGGATAAGCAAAAATGAATGATTAGTCATTAACAATTCATTAAAAATTATTTTTACGTGAAAATAATGTTCACCGTATATCTCAAATCTAGATGTGTTTTGGGAATGTACTTTATCCTCTTTTATTCAACTAGTAACCTCAGGGTCTTCTGTTACTTTTCGCCCACAGGATATCCATCACAAGGGTCACGGCTGACATCTCGCTCGCCAAGCGCTCAGTGTTAAACAATCCCAGCAAGCATGCAATAATAGAAAGATCTAACACAAGGTCAAGCTTAGGTAAGTCTGGGCAGTGCTGATGAGCTTAGGCTATTGAAACATTTCTCTCCTGACGTTGCCAATGAGAAGCTCTAACTAGATGGTAATTCTATGTGTCATAGAGCAGAGAAGAAATGGACCCGTGTTGCCAACCCGTGTTGCCAGTGGCAGGTGTTACAGTCTTAGTGATTTCATGATACGGAAAGATTTGTTAGGATAGTTGCGAGTTAAATGTTCCATGGCTGTCAGCGTTGTTGTGTTTTTTTTCCTTTCCCCCACTAATGTGAGCTTTGCTGTCTAGAGACTCTAAAACTTCCTGGCTTTGCATTGGTGTTACTGTGGGCAAGTTCGTTGATGTCTTTAATGCCTAGTTTCCTCATCAAAACAACAAAGAGAGAGAGAATTAACTACCTTGTAGAATTATTGTAAGGATTAAACATAGTATGTTCTCCATCAGTGATGGCTATTGTCCAAAGACCCTCGGTAAGTGAATTATATACAGTGAATTATATCAATGATTATAAGTGAATTATATCAATGATTATGTCATATTCAGGATAGTGTGTGTCAGGGGGGATGGGTAGGTATTGAGATAAAAGATAAAATTAGTTACTGGCCATTTTTAACTGATACTATGTGCAAAAACAGTGTAGAGATTTTAGTGAACATGTCTACAGGGTTGTGTTTGGATACTGTTTATAAACGTGATTTGCTCAAATGAGATAGTCTGGCAGTTATTTCTTCTCTGTGGCATGTGCTTGGAGTTTTAGGTTAATCATGGTCACACATTTCACTAACTGGGTTGTTAAGTTCTGTTATTATAAAGTAATTTTTCTGAGAGTTTGAGATTTTTTTTTTTCAATTAAAAAAAATTTTTTTTTTTAGTTTATTTTTGAGACAGAGCATGAGCAGGGGAGGGGCAGAGAGAGAGGGCGACACAAAATCCAAAGCAGGCTCCAGGCTCTGAGCCGTCAGCACAGAGCCCAATGCGGGGCCCAAACTCACAAACCACAAGATCATGACCTGAGCAGAAGTCGGATGCTCAACCGACTGAGCCACCGAGGCGCCCCTGAGAGTTTGAGATCTTTGTATAAATTATTATATAAATCATAGAGAAACTATTAAAAATAATAAACTATCTGTTAGTAATATGTAGAATACCTTAGAAAACTCAGTTTGGTTCCTCACCTAAAAAACCCTCACTGACTACACTTGGGTAATAGAGCACTGGTTCTGGGATCAACCCCCAGGGTGAGCTCTGAGCTGACAGTGCGGAACATGCTCATAATTCTCTCCCATCCCTTCCCCCCTGCCATCACTCTCAACACTTTTAATGAAACTTTTAGGAAAAAAAAAAAAAAAGGGAAAGAGGTAGAGAGGATGATAGGGACTTAGAGTGAAAATGAAGAGAAGCTTCTGGACAACATTGTTCTTTACCTTAGCTGTGAGCATATGGTTTAAAAGAGGGAGGTGGGAGATGACACCAGAGAAGCAGAGGAGAGATATTAAGGGATTTGGAGCTTACCCTTAAGGCATTATGGAACCATGTATCGTAGGTTTTAGGCATTTATTCATCCATTTAACAAATACTTGAGTACCAACCATGTGCTAGGCATTATTGTAAGTGCTGGGGACACAGATGTAAAGGACACCAACTCCTCACTCTCATAGAGTTTTTATTTCATAAGGAACACATGGACAAAAGTGAGCAGATATAAAAGTCCGTGGTTCAGGAGTCTGGAAAGAAAAGGCGGGCCAAGGGGTAGAGAAAAACTGAGAAGAGAGATTTTTTACATGGGGATGTTGGGGGAGCCTCTCTGAGGAAGCAACGTTTTAGCAGAATGACTTACGTTGTGAATTCTCTGGCCTTACAGTAAGCTACCCGTGAAAAGACTGTCTCGGGCAGAGGGTGCTGAAGGTGCAAAGGCCCTGTGGTGGGAGTATGTGTGATGTGTTTAAGGGCTAGCAAGGAAGCCAGATGTGGAATGAGCAGAGGCTAGGGGTTGGGAGGATGAGGTCAGAGAGACTGTGCCTGATCATGTAGGACGTTGTAGGCCTTTTATTGTGGATGCGGTAGAAAGGTGTAGGAAAGCAGACGTGACACCATAGGACTTGTGTTTTAGAAGGATAACTGACAGCATTGTGGAGAAGAGAATGGAAAAGGGCAAGAGGTAAGTCAGGGGAAACTCAGACTGTTGAGGTTGTTTCAGGGAAAAATAATGTCCTCTGTGCAAAAACTAATAAAACGGGTGCCTTTAGAAGCATCTCCTCTCAGTCCAATTCTTGCTCTGTCAGGTCATTTAGTAGTCGTGGTCATTCATCATTCAACTTAGAGATTAAGAGGACTGACATCAGACAGGGGTGAAGGGAATGAGTAGAATGAAAGGAGTCAGAGAGAAGAGAGCCGGGATCTGGCAATCTGTTGAACCTGGAACATGAAGAAGCCGACTCCAGCACGAGCTGTAAGGTTCCGCTTTCAGGAACTGGGTCATCAATGGTGTTATTCTGGGGAGAAGGAATTCAGGAGGAGGAGCTTGGCTGGAGTAGTAGGCTGGGTAGGGGGATAAGGAAAATGATGACTGCGTTTGTGCACATGTTGAATTTGCAGTGTTACGAAGCACGCAGATGTCCAGCAGGCAATCGACTGTATAAACAGATCTGGAACTCAGTAGAGGACGGGGCTTAAGGTGCAGTCAATTCTTAGGAAGTCTCCGTGGACAATGAATTAGCAAATACGGAGTCTTTGCTCCCAGGGAAACGCAGGGGTAGGTTTCTCTGGCGATTTTAAGTTTTTCTTATGGTAGCACTAGGAGATAGGTACTTATAGCAGGAGAATGGCCCAGTGATGCCCGTACATGTTGAATTACAAGTTGTGGGCGTTATGTGGACTCTGTTGTAGAGGAAACAGGTTTCATGTTACAACGTGGTACAAAACTGATACTTTAACATTCCAGATATGTAAGTTTATGTATATGCTATACCTTAAGATTCTTCTATATTTAGTAGAGCTTAAATTCGAGATCTCCCTCACCTCAAAGATCAATTTCAGCAATCACTTCTTTTACAGAAGGATGAAAGATCCGGTACAGTGAAGATATAATTTGATAGGTAAAAATTTGCTTTATGCGTAAACTTTTAGAAAAGCTCCGTTACAGAAAACAAAGTATAGTATGTTGCCTTTGGAGTTCATTATGCTGATGTACCACTGTATGACATGAAGGGAAAGAAAACTTGGAAAAATGTGAAGCTTTAAGTACATCTTTTGTACTTTGTTTTAGGGTGGTACATGACTTCTTTGGATGGACAGACGGCTTTATTTGTAGCCGTAGGATTCATACAAGTTCTAACTTTGTTTTTCCAGTTGTAATGTTGGTCAAGCATCACAATCTAAGATATCTACATTAGATACATTTCACACTTAGAGAATGCAGAAGAACATAACACTCTTAAAAATATTACTTGAATTAAGATAGTTAAGCCACAAGGTTATAAAGCTGTAGCAAGGTTATAATTGGAATAAAAATGTAAAGATAAGGTAAATGTACAGAATATGTAAACAATATTAGTCATGTTTTAAAACACTATTATGAAAAAAAAATAATCAGAATATACCATTTTTATTTTTTAAACTGTTATTAAATTCAGTTATGTAGGGAAGTTAAAAGTGGAAGGAACTTCAGGTATTTATCACTCACTTTCGACATTCATGGCCAGTCTTGTTTCATCTCCAGTCCTCTCCTTTGTCCCCCAACTGTCTCTGGATTATTTGGAAACAAATCCCAGACATCATTATAGATTTTATCTGTAAATATTTCAGTACCTATTTCTAAAGATTAGGGACTCTCTTTAAACCATAATGCCATTATCATATCTTAACAACACATCCCTAGTGTCATGAGATTTCTATTCAGCCATGTATCATTTCCTAATTGTCATATATATTTTTTATATTTTACTCACTTATGCGTTGTAAATATATAAAGTCAGGATGCGAATTAAAGTCCACAGTGATTGGTTCAAAGGTCCTTAAGTTCCTTAGTCTATAGTTTTCCATATATCTTTTTTTTTTCCCTTGTAACTTTTTGCTTAAAGAGTCTGGGTCACTTATGCATAGTTTTCCATAGTCCAAAGTTTGCTAACTGCATTATAGTGTAGTTTATTTAACGTTCTGTTTCTTATAAACTGGTAGATCCAGAAGCTTAATCGGGTTTTGTTTTTCCTTCCTGCAAGATTGTCACGAGTAGCATGTAACCAAATATTATTTTAAAGCTGGTATTGCAGGTGGTTTAAGTCCAGATTTTAAAGACATCCGGGTGAATAAAAGGAGTCTAGTCATAACATGTTGTGAGGCAGATGATTAGTGACTTATCTTTCTGCAGTAGTGGAAATTACCTCCAGGAATCTTCTGCACAGAACCAAATAAGAGGACTTGAAAGGTATTCTGTAGGGCTAGGAGTCTCAAGGAACCTGCCCTTCATGGTTGTAGTAGACACTGCAAGCTGCATGCTAGGCTTGACAGATCTATGCTTCTGGCTATTTCACTTTGAGTTTAAAAATTCAGCTTCTCATTCATACTACATTTCGAGTGCTCAGTGGCCGCAAGTGCCTAGTGGCTGGCTGTCGGGTGGACGGCATTGATACAGACTATTTCCATCATCACAGAACATTCTATTGGACATCCTGTTTTAGATTCTAGAGAGATCATGGGGTAGACAAACTGAATGAAATTTCCCTGCTGCTCAAGCATATTTTTAGTTGATACTTTCTCTATAAACCTTATCATTTGGATTTTTGCTTTTTTCTGTTTTTTTTTTTTAAATGTTTGTTTGAGAGAGTGCAAGCAAGGGAGGGGCAGAAGGAGAGAATCTCAAGCAGGTTCCATGCTGTCAGCAGAGACCGGATGCAGGGTTTGCACTCACAAACCGCGAGACCAAGACCTGAGCAGAAATCAAGAGTCGGATGCTCAACTGAATGAGCCATCCAGGTGCCCTGTAGTGCTGCTTCTAATGGAGCACTACCCTTTTAGAATAGGAATACTGCAGGGCCATTCGTCTGTTGGTAGAAACCATGAAAAGTGTGTTTTTGGACAAGTTTGTTACAGATACCATTAACGTCTCTCCTGTTTTTAATGTTGTATTTCAGCTTGCTAATACATTTATCTAGATTATCATATCCAGAAAGCATACCAATAGGTAACAGTATAAACACAGATTAAGCTGATACAGTGAAAAGAAAGGTGGTGACAGTTGCTATGGTAACATGGTCAGAAACAAACACATTGTTTCTATTTTACAACATTTTTATGAAATGATTTCACAGAGTGAAGTTTTACAGCACAAAAAGTAAGTCAGCACAGATAGCCAACTATTTTGATTCTCCTACTCAAACTGTTATACTGGAAGCAAATTTTATAGCTCGTTGAAAGAATTCCCTCAATTCTAAAGGTACTTTGGAGAGACAGCTCTTTCCAAAGGATACCTTTTATCAGCTTTGTTGCCTATGAACATTAACCTACTGGCTGTCCTACCTGCCTTCCAGGTGAAGAAACAGTGTAGCATTTTACTTTATTTCTATTGGGTCTAAAAATACTTTAATTGAACTCTGCTTAACCTTTTACAGCGGAAGTTCAGAGTGAAATCGAAAGGATTTTTGAACTTGCAAGAACATTGCAACTGGTAGTCCTTGACGCAGATACTATTAATCATCCAGCTCAACTTAGTAAAACTTCCTTGGCCCCCATTATAGTATACGTAAAGATTTCTTCTCCTAAGGTAAGTGGGGTTGTTATTGTCTGCTCTCTAATCACACTTCACTGTGGCGTTTATGTTGTGCTTTACACTTGTAAAAGGCTATGTTTCTAACATCAGGAGTGTGAAGAGACAGGGTAGTCAAGAGTTCTTAATATAAGCGAACACATGGCTTACAACAGTGATTCCTAAAAGTGTGGTCCCTGGTTTCCTGGAGGAAGGTTCTGAGAAACTTGCTGTGAGAGTCCACAAGGTCAAAATGATTTCCACAGTAATACCAAGACATTATTTTCCTTTTTCAGTGTTTGGGCATTTGCACTGATGGTGCAAAGGTGGGTAAAAGTTAAGTGTCCATGACTCGAGACTGGTACCAGACAGCACCCACAGTGAAGAAAACCACCACCGTGCAGTTGTACTGCGCAGTATCCTGACACAGGAGTAAAATCTGACTCTTCAATACAAGCCTTTTCAATATCCTGTGTAATGAAACAGGAAGTACATTTGAAAGTGCTTCAGCTACAGTTTTAGCAGTTAGCTACCTTGAGGACACTTCGCAATACAAACTCAAGTAGCTTCTTTTCTGATGGAACACCATTTTTATTTGCAAGAACAACTGGCATACTATGTTTATTCAGACTTGCTTATTTGGCAGATCTTTTCCCATTTGTCACCAGTGATAAAACTGAAGATTTCAAACAAAAAAATAGAATTTCAGAAAATTCGAATCTACCCGAGAGCTTACCAGGTTCTCAAAAGACAGACTTTTCTGAGATTAGTGGTAATGGCAAATATATTATTTTAAAAATGTGTCAGAAGATCTGAAGAACTCAGTGCACCATTGGTTTTCCAGATGATGAATGAATGATGTTACAAATCATGCCTAGTAAAAGATCCGTTCAAATTTCAAGACAGGGCAATGGAATTTAAGAGTAAGAGAAGTTCATGGATAGGGTGTTAGCTTTCACGTGCAGACTGTCGTGAAGAAAGTAGTTTGGTGTAATGTTAAAAGACAATATCCACAGTTACCTGCAAAGGCTACTAAAATACTCCTCCTCTCCTGAATTCCCTGTTGAAGGATAAATTTCTTCACATGTTCCAACCAAAACAATACACAGTAGCAGGTTAAAAGTAAGTGTAGCTAGGAGACTTTGCAAAAAACTATAGACACTTGTACAAAAATAAGTAACATGTTCACATGTAACAGGTGTATGTTCTAAAGCTCTTGGGGTTCTCAATTTTTGTAAACATAAAGGAGCCACGAGACCAGAGGTTTGGTAAGCTTCGGCATAAGCTCCATGCCAGCTGGGTATTTTTTTTGAAGCCTGCACCTGACGTGTGTGTGAACGCGTTAATTCTGCAATCTTAGACATTTTGTAGCTCAGTCTATTGAGCTGCTTCTTCAGCTGAGTGCAGATGTTCTCCCGTTACACCTTATCTCGCACAGGTTTTACAAAGGTTAATAAAATCTCGAGGGAAATCTCAAGCCAAACACCTCAATGTCCAGATGGTAGCAGCAGACAAACTGGCTCAGTGTCCTCCGGTAAGTGGTCTCTCGGAACGGTACAATCCACTCTGCGTCCTCAGACCTGGCGGCATATCCACAAGGCAAGCACACAAACACCGGACGGAATTCTCCCCACCGAGCCGTGGTCCTCACTCCCAAGAGGTGAACTGTCCCACCCGTTCCCACAAGCACTTGTCTAGATCATGGCTTACAAAAAGCTACAGTGCATTCCGTGGTGACCGTGCACTGTTAGTATCTAATTGTCTTAAATGAAACAAGATTGTGGTTTCAAAAATTTCGTTGCTAAAATGGATTTGGGATTACTATTCACTTCTAATAATAGGGAGCAAGTTGCTGGCTCTTAACAACTGAGAAATTGATTTGAGACCATGTAAAAACAAATTTCTGAACATTCAAAACACCTTCTTCCTTCTAATCCCTCCTTTACCTATCATGCTTTGGGACCCTGGATCACCTCTGGGTTTTTGTTTAGTTTTGATATGCAGGTATAACAGAAGTTATAAGAGTTCTGATTATATTAATTTTCTATTGCTTAGAATATTTTGAAGTTTGCACCCTGTCAAATCATCTGTGGTTTCAGCTTTTTTCTGCCAAATTTCATGTCCTAAACAGGCCTCAGTCATTTCCAAGATTAAGTTTTTCATAGTCTCCATGTCAAAAAACAGGCCTCTTCTCTACTGTCCAGATTGTATTTTTGTTTTCTTTTTTTACTTCTCTTTTCTATCATGTCCTAAACAACTTTCACGACACCTTTCATATTCTGGTGATTGCCACGGTTAAGCATCGAGGGTTGTAAATGATTATCTCAGGCAGACAGACTGGCAATCAGACTCAGCAGGGCAGTCAGCCAGTTAGGTAAGGAGAAAGCAGGAGCACACGAGCAAATACAAAGTGGTGCAGCTCTTGAGCCCCTCCCTCGTGTGAGTGTGTGTGTGCAACTCACTCGGTGCGGGGCTGGCTAAGTGCGCCACCTGAAGTGTCTGTCTCTGCAGGAGCTGTTTGATGTGATCCTGGACGAGAACCAGCTGGAGGATGCTTGTGAGCACCTTGCCGACTATCTGGAGGCCTACTGGAAGGCCACCCACCCCCCCAGCAGCCATCTCCCCAACCCTCTCCTTAGCCGGACTTTAGCTACTTCGACTCTGCCTACTAGCCCCACTCAAGCCTCTAATTCACAGGTAAGAGGAGCTCTTCCTTACGGCCTAGAAACCGAGCTGCCTTAGGTCACATGGCCGGGATCCACTCCCAGTCACCCAGCACAGCACTCCTTCCAGTTAGAGCAGCTCCATCCACACTGAGTCATTTACGGGTACACAGCTCCCACTGAAGACAGTAAACAAACCAGGTAAACAACATACTACAGACGTATATAAACTTTAAAACTCCCTAACTACATGTTCTAGAAGACAAGGATAGAATTTCCTATACCATCTATATAGCACAACCATGGAATCAGACTGCCTGGGGTCACGTTCCCGCTCCACCGCTTACTCTCTATGTAAGTTTGGATAAGCTCCTCACGTGCCCCTTGCCTCACGAAGACTGATGGCAACCTGTCCCCTACGGCCACTGCATTAATGAATTAATACACAAGACAGACTTAGGACAGTACATTCCTCATGCTAAGTGCTGTTGGGAGCACCTGTCATTTTACTTTTTTCCCCTCAATCCAAAGCCAACATCTTAAGCATTTTTTATCTTCCCGTGTGTATTCAGGTAGAGGTAGTTAAATGTGCACTTGTGTGCAGAAAATCCTTAGGGCCCTGAATCTGATTTGAACTCCAAGAGAACATATAAAAGGATCCCCTCCCCCCTTCATTTACTCATTAAGGGGAAAAAGAAAGTTCCTCTGTATGCTGTTGTAGGCTCTTACAAATTCAAGTCCAGTATAATGTAGTACAAACCTTAGAAATGCCACTGGGTGTTATCAGACGTACGGAGTAACTGAGTAGGTGAGATTTCATTCTAGAAACTTAGACGGGAATAAACCTGAATGCATGGGCTTGCTTTTCTGACATGTTACTTCCTGACGCTCTGGCCTTGGCTCATGCCTGCGCCGACTTCCTCCTGTGCCAGGGTTCTCAAGGAGATCCGAGGACTGCGCGCTCTGCTCCTGCCCGTTCCGCCTCCCAAGCTGAAGAAGAGCCCTGCCTGGAACCCGTCAAGAAACCCCACCACCGTTCTTCGTCCTCCGCCCAGCACCACAGCCATCGTGGTGGCACGAGTCGAGGCCTCTCCAGGCAGGAGACGTTTGACTCGGAAACCCAGGAGAGTCGAGACTCTGCCTACGTGGAGCCGAAGGAAGACTACCCCCCCGAACAGGGGGACCACTACGCCCCACACCGCGACCACAACCACAGAGAGGAGCCCCACGGGAGCAGCGAGCACAGACACAGGGAAGCTCGACACCGTGCCAGGGACCTGGATCGAGAGCAGGACCACGGCGAGTGCAACAAACAGCGCGGCCGGCATAAATCCAAGGATCGCTACTGTGACAAGGATGGAGAAGGCGTAGCCCGGAAACGGAACGAGGCTGGGGAGTGGAGCAGGGATGTTTACATCCGCCAGTGACTTCTGCCCTCTTGTGTGTTTGTTCTTTTTTTTTTTAAGTCTTGTATGACACCATCCTCAGACTAAATCTCTGGGGTCTACATTGCAGTCAGATGTGATCTGTCTTGTATACTCTGTATTGCTGTTGCTTGAATAGCAATAGCATGATTGATAAGGAGTATTAATATACCTTTTTTTTTTCCTTTTGCAAGTGCTACGTAAGTTGGCCTCGTATGGCTGCAGTGCTCCGGTTGTATACTGGACTTTTCAAAAACTGTTTGGGATAGCTGCCACTTGAACAAAATCTGTTGCCACCCCGGTGGCTTTAGTATTTTAAGAAACATAGTTGATGTTTTCAAAAATGTACTTAATGTATCCAGCAAGCCAGAATTGGCCCAGATAAAAGTGGAATTTCCTGATTCTCCAGATTTTTAATATGTAGGCACCAGATCTGCATACTCATTTATCCATGGACCACTGTTTCTTGCTTGTACCTCTGGCTGACTAAATTTGGGGACAGATTCAGTCTTGCCTTACACAAAGGGGATCATAAAGTTAGAATCTATTTTCTATGTACTAGTACTGTGTACTGTATAGTTTGTAAATGTTATTTCTGCAAACACCTTCTTATGATAATTATATATATAATATATAAATATATATATATATCAGTTTGATCACACTATTTTAGAGTCTTAATGCCAAGTCAGCAGATTTGCTTTATGAATTACAGGGACTAGAGATGCCCACCTTCAGGAAATTTGTTATATCGTCTAGACACCTACCCCCATTCTCGTAGAAAGTCTGTACATACTGTAAATACGCGTGATTGCTTGACTTGAAAAGGTTTGATTTCTGAATGTTTTACCATCCTTGTAAGTTTATAACTTTGACCATAAATTATGGTAAATATAACCAAACTCCAAAGGTTGTTCTAATCCATGCAGTTCACACTGATTGTGACAAACACGTCCTGAGTAGTTAGTGTCTTATGTCGCTGCACTGGACTTGACGAGCCGGACCTCTCTGTGTGCAAGTGCGTCTGTGTGTAAGAGCGGTACGAGTGTGCACGAGTGACTGAGATGGACCCGAGTGCTGAAGACTCGAGACTGATGACCTAGAATTCTACCCACCTGGCTTTGTATTTAATTGTGTTACGTGTCGCTTTAAAAATAATCCGTTGAGCAGTCAGGGAATGTGAGGAAGCTCGCTGCCAAAGGTGACTAGGAAGGCATCCATGTGCTGGCTCCTTGTGTTTGCTCCTAGAGTAAGAACACAGGCAACTTTTAACTGTGAGTGTTTCACTGGAAATGTACAATCTTTGTGTGTTTGAGTATTTGTTTTAGTAAGAAATGTTTACACAGCTTGTAGAATTATTTCGTGGGAAAATAAATTTTTCTACCTTCTCCCACCTCCTTTTCTAAACCTTGCCTATCGTTCCTGTGGTCTATCTCCCCCAGATTTACCCTTCATTCTGTTCCTTACCACCAACTCCAACACGTCAATGTCCGTCAAAACCCAGAAGTGCTTCTTACAACCAAAGTTTCTGCTCTTCAGAAGTAATCAGGGCAAAATGAGGGGACTTGAAGTGAACAAAACATTAAGAATATCTTCTTATGTTAGACACCTGCTCTGAAGGGGAGCCCGGAAGATGCTGTTCTCCACGCCTCAAAGATAGCACTGTCAGCAGCTCACAGTGTGGTTGCCACGCTAAGGCTAAAACCTTCTCCGTGTCACTTATGTGTCCATTTTGTCCAGTTATGACTGGACAGGTAAGACAGTATTAGGTGTGCAAGTACCTAGCACCTGAAGTTTGTCCCTGGAAAAGGCCCATCTATAATTGCCTAACTTCAGATCTACACATTGTAAAATTATTATTAAGTCGGTTCATCTAGTTTTGTTCTGCTTCTTTGATTATTCCAGGTTCTTGCCAAATATTCTTGGAGCTTTATATGTAAAACTTTCACATTTAACTCCTTATTTCCCTCCCTGCACAGAAAAACGCAGTTTTACAAATGAGTTACACTTTAAGGGTTTTACCCGCAAATGGAAGAAACATTTTCCTCAGAATTAATCTTTTTGTTAATTAGCTCTGTACTGTTGACAAATTTATTTACTGAAGATAAAAATGGTAGATGTAAACATTTTTGATGTAAAATATTCGTATCATTGGGAAACCATATTCCAGTTACAGTTACCTGTGTAAAATATTTCTGAACTTTCATCCCAATTAATGACTTTGGAATATTTAAATTCTTGAAATATAACTGGTATTTATCTTACTTGCTGCTACCACTAATCTTTCAACGAGTCATGCCAACAGATTCCGGTTTTAAAATTTGTATCTGGATTCTTAATTTTTCACTTACTGTGAAACATAGTAGTCCAAATCAGAGTATTCCTCAAAAAAAATATATTGCAGGATTTGACATGAACATCTATATGTGTGTAAACAGTGTGTTCTAAATTTGTAAATGAAGAAATAATCCCAAGGGCAATGGGAGATTTACTGATTTGTGGAATGTAAAATTAGTCTCTTCACTCAGCAAAGGCTTAATCTTAACCTACTCAGTTGTAGAATCATGATCTTTGTAGTCGACCTAGAAAATGCTGGAAATGTCCTTAATAGTTCTGTGTTTTATTGTCAAATCCGTTTCAGTTCTTCCTATGCTCTTTCTCTACTGCTCATTTAAGTTACTGTTACAAAAAGGTGCTGCTAAATGTAGGATGTCTTAGTCATACTGTACTTTGGGACAATGCCACATTTTTAACATGGTCTGCTATGCATTCCTGTTAAACATTCACTGTCAGCTACACTGAACTGTTCAACAAATCTGGTTTAAAGTCATTCATACAAAACAAATAAAGAGCTGGCTTTCTGCACTGTTTACTAGTAGAAGTATTGATTGCCATTTTAGGGATGATTCTGATAGTTGAGAATACGTCCTGTTTTCAACACCAGTGCCCACTTGTGGAGCAGCTCTCTCAAGGGCAACGCTAATCACTGACGTTACTTTAGCGACGTTCCCGTGATGTCGGATAAAATGATCGCGTACAGTAGGTAAAGATCCTTTAAGATCGAGCAGAGTAATCTTTCTCCTACGTTAGTTTTACATGTGTGGCAATTCTTGATTCAGATTGTTTTTGTTATTCCTTCGTTTTTAAAATGAAGATCCATCTTGACGTCAAATTTAAATCCTCACCCTCATCCCTCCGCTCAATGATACAGTGCTACTAGTCTCGGACGCTAACCTTATTTCCATGCCAAGGGTCACGCTGTTGGAGAAAACAGCCACTAGATCGTTCTGGGTCAATTACTTAATTCTGGTTAAATTGCATTTTCAACGACTTGTACTTCACTTTACGATTTAAAGTAAACTATGGCACAGGGTTTTGAAGTAAAATGTACTCACTGTTAAACTGAAATGTTTTTGTTTCACAAGAATATGTTAACCCTAAGTATGTTAAGAGATAATATATTGTCCTCCACATTTCCCAGATTTTTTCCCCTTTTGTTCTATTTTTTTCTCAAACTTAAGTCCTTTAAATGTGTTTTATTTTCCAAGTTGCCCTACTTTTTGAAGGAAAGAAACCCACTGAAACTGTCTATGTCAAAGCAACAATTTTTAACAATATTCTTTGTCCTGCTGTTTTTAATATGCAAATATTTTTCATCAGTTTTGCCTGCATTGTTTGTATTTTGACAGTTGTCAGTGTTAATCAACAGTTTACATGTTTACTGCTGGGCTCCCGATCTGTGATTTTCATCCCAGCTTAGCACAAAAGGCTTTGCAGAAAGCAGGGGAAGAAATGGATTTTTTAAAACACACCGGAAGTCTGGAGAAATGTGGTGAGCTCTAGAGACAGAAGTGCCACAGGTAAACGTCCAATGACATCTACTGGATAAAAGGCAGAATGAAGGATATAAAGAAGTCAGTCACACATTTGAATCTTATGGACCTTGATATATCTTTTCCCCCATTAAATAAGCACGTATTGATGATCTGCTCTAAAGCGGCGACAGAAAAAACAGGATTCTTGCCTCCAAGACTTTCCCAAGCATGGGGGGAGGGGTAAAGGGCATGGCCAGTAAACTAAGAGTGAGTGTGTCAAGTACCATGACAGCAGCAGAAGCAGGTCCTAGGGATATATGGAAAGACAGAAATGCCTAAGCCAACCTCGGAGAAGGATATTCAAGAAAGGCTTCTTCAAAGAAGAGGCCTGCTAAAGAGCTTACCTGATCCAAGTGACCTTGCAATCTTGATGGGACACAATAGATAGAAGAAATTCTGAACAGAAACCTAGGAAGGAAAAAAAAGGAACTATCAGGTAGTTGTTCCCAGTTGTCTACCTTATATGCCCAAGGCTGAGAAATTCTGAGATGATTCCAAAGGAAGTTAACAAAACATTTAGATGTATTTAATACTATATAAGGGCTGGGTATTGAGTACTTAAATATATCTCATCTAAAAAGCAATAGGATGAAGCAAGCCTAAGGTTATAATTTTTAGTAAGAGCAGTCACATTGCTGCTAACAGCGGCATGTCTGGTCACTTTTAGGGGATGTTCTGGATTTTGCTGGATTCCAGATTTGATCATGAGGTACCCTTTTTTTGTCTTCATCTACCATACTCACAGTTGCTTTGTCTGATGTTGGGAGTTCTGTGAATGTGTTGATGATCAACAGAACACCAAAGCTTGGCTCTAAGGGTCAAGCCAGTTCCCACAGTTATCACAATAACTTGCAGAACAGGTATTCCAGGGGATGATGAAAGGTACCCAAACTGTGGAATACTCTCATAATTTTAATCTACAGAGTGAAGAAAACATTGTAGTTTTCAGTTTAAAAGCATGAAAAAAAAAAAAAAGTAAACATGGTGAAGACACACTACCATTTAGGAGAGGTCCAGATTTCATTTCAAAGAGTTGACTGATCAAATAGTAAGCAGAAAACCTCAGATAAAATGCTCACCTCAGTTATGAGTACACGAAAAACGTTATAGTTTCCAGGCCCTGAATTTTTAGAAAACTACCACCCCTTAGGAACTCTCAGGAACAAAACACTACTTTTTATCAAATTAAGTATTACTCATTTTATTCCTCTTGTTATAATCACAGATTTTAACATTAAAAATGATTTGTATTCTTCATACATTAAAACACAAAACCCCAAATGAAAATATGCTCCAGATATCTGTAGGCATCTCATTTTCTTTATACTGTGCTAAATCCTTAAGAAAACACATATTTTAAACACAAAATATAATCTTGTACCACCCCCCAACTACCTCCTCCGTGAAGCGGTCTCTTAATCAAGCCTCTTGCTCCCTGGTACAACAGCTGGCAGCCTTTTCTGTTTCCTTAGCAACTATGTCATCAATCACCAAGCCTGACAACAGTTTGATTAAAAAAAAAAAAAAAAAAAAAAAACCCACAAAAAAAAGGAGGGAGGAAAGGAAGGAAGGAAGAAAACCAAACAAAACCATAGAGCTAATGTTTGGAACTTTGGTTTCTATGGATCCTACGTGCTTTTGCGTTTTATGAATTTTGCAATAAAAAAACCTATACAATCTTTATTTGCCAGCCAAATCATGTCTTCTATTCTGGCATCTCCGAGAGAAGCGATGTCAGTGTCCCGAACTGGCACAACAGATGGATCAAATCGCTGCAGCTGTTTCAATTGTTCAGATGATAGGCCGGCTCCCATCATTCCTTCTCCTCCAATCTGTGGTTCCTGGGTGGAGAAAGGGGAAAAAAATACGAATATCCTATCATTAGTAAGTGTGCCTGTGTACAATTTAAACGACAAAATTGAGGTATAAGTACCACCAATTCCAAAAATAGATAAATGTTATCTCTGTGGAATATACGTGCGGTTTTTCTCGGTGGTAACAAATGGTCACCTGATGAATGACTATCTGTTAGGACCCATCTGCTCATCAAGTACTGCAGCTTTGCCACATTTTAGCTGTATGTATTTTTTTTTTTTAATGTTTATTTTTGAGAGAGAGGAAGAGAGACAGTGCGCGAGCAGGAGAGGGAGACACAGAATCTGAAGCAGCTCCAGGCTCTGAGCTGTTGGCACAGAGTCCAACTCGGGGCTCGAACTCAGCAACCATGAGATCATGGCCTGAGCCGAAGTCGGATGCTTAACTGACTGAGCCGCCCAGGCAGCCTTGGCTTTGTGGTGTTAAGCAAGTAACTTTACCTGTCTCCTCATCTACGAAACAGATCAAGTACTCAGTTCTAAGACTTCAAGAAGGTGGTGGTATGCCCGGCATACAGTGGCCAGTCAGTGAAACATCATTATCAACAACAGTAATAAATACAAATTCAGCTTTATCATCACATTCCCCAAAGCGGACCTAAAGGTGCCTTTCTCTGACCCACACCAATTGGATGATAAAAGTCTCCTTTTGTTGTTTTTAAATGTACTAGAACAATTATTACAAAGAGATAAAGTAAGACTGTGTCAGTTGGTTTAGAATACAGAATCGTAAGGAACTGAGTGATATGTGTGAACCATGACCACAAAAGATCGACAATCCTAACTTCAGTCACCAATGCACAAACGTTTACGTACTACTGAAAACCTATCGTTTATTAACTCCTGGACAGAAAGTTTCTCTCTCTTTTAGGTATATATTGAGTGTTGTGTATACATACACACACACACATAAAATTCAAGTGAATTCTGAAGTCTTCCTTTCCTCTACAAAGCAGTTATCTTAACTTCTGAGTCTAGAAACCATCTCTCAATTTTTATTCATATATCCCAATTACCTACTAGAATTCTGTACAGGAAGGTTACTGAGGTTAGATGTTCAATGTATCTGACTAAATGTGAGTATTGTTACATATTTAAATTAACCTCAAACATCATGAGGTAAACATATAGTCATAATATAGTTTTGATAAAAACCAAAACAGGTCAAATAAAGTGTAAGAAAACTTTTAAAATGTTACATATTTTATGTAACAAATTGTGAAGAAGCAATAATCCTGAACCATTTTCTCCCCTCTGCTAGTCTTCTGATATCCCAGTTATTACAGCTTATTTGATTGAGAAAAAAAATGCTCGACATACTCCATACCAGCAAAATGTAGGACCAGGAGAGGAAAGGAATAAACAACTCTTTAGGAAAAAAAAAGGTCTGTATAAACTGAACAAGAGCCACAGGTGAAAGAAACCTGTAACACAAGTACACCTGAGCTCTGCGGCATTTTAACACAATGGCAAAGAACGAAGACGGGGAAAAACTGCTGGGACGTGGAAATTCTCTGTTCAGTGTCAAATGGATCTCACTGGAGGAACATGCTTGTCTATTGCAGTATTTGTTTCTGAAGTTTCGCTGGACACAGTTTTTCATATGACAACCTCGTGTTTATCACCACACTCATGATTCTGTGATTTGTCACATTACACAGAGAAAACCGAACTTACTTGTACCTGGGGCTGAAGCTGGAGGCAAGGAAAGGTTGCGAGGGCCCAGGCAACCTGTTCTTCGTTTTCCGCCAGTGTGATGGTGCACGTGCTGTAAACCAGCACGCCCCCTGGCTTCAGCAGCTCAACTCCCTAAACAAACATGTGATCAGACCACGGGTGTACCACAAGGCAAAATCAACATTTTACAGGATTTTGTATCTGTAGGACACCTTTCAAGTGTTTGGGATAAATGTTCTGTATGATCAAGACTCACTCTCTGAGTCGAGTGTTCCAGCCCAGGTGCATTTCACGCTCTTGGAACTGTTAGTGCACTGAAACCAAGACTTTCCTAAACGTAAGCATTCACTTTCACTACTTTAGATACCCCTTTTTATGCCCAAAATCACACATGTACACTTTGTAAGCCATCCTCCTTTCTGAACTCTGTACTCATGTACTCAATC